GGACTGTCCCAGCCCCTTAGGATGGAACATCTCGGAGCTGCAGCACAGGTTCCCCTGACCACCAGCGGCTCAGCCCAGCTCTGCTCCTGTGGGGGGTGGCCCTCTCTGTTGGTGGGGGTCCCACAGCTACTGCTCTGCTGTCCCACTGCCTCCTCCCTGGCCCCGACTCTGACTTCATCTCTGCCCTCATCCTTCCAGACCCCTTATGACACATGGAAAACTGTTTACAAACAGCACCTGGGGTCCCGCTGCCCACCGCCACCCTCTAGGCAAAATTCCCAAGGCAAAGGTTTGGTGATAAAGGAAAGGGGTCTTTACTCAAAAGCTTCACAGTTTTGGAATAACAGCTTTCCACTGGCATTAGTCACTTAAACCTACCAATTAAGGCTAAACCCTTTAACACCTGAGTTCTAGCATTCTCCCTGTTTTCAATGATCTTATTTCTATAGGGTTAGTTTACTAACCAAAACAACCTAAGATACAAAAGCTACACAATTTTAGAATGGCAGGCTTCTGCCTCACAACTCATCCCCTCTAGAGCCCCCAAAGAAGAATTACCCTGCTCCCCTCTGCCAGGCCAGCCTGATCCTAGTCTGCGCCCAGAGTCCCTTCCCATCCCAAACACCGTCCAAGCTGGAAACACAGGCAGCTACGTGCAATCACCCAGGCTTCCTCCAGGGAGAAGAGCCTGAGCTAGCGCCAGCCCGGCTGAGAGTCTGAGAGCGCCTCCTTTATTGCAAATCTTCTGGCCCATAATTCCATGCATTCTGGAGGCATTCAGCCTCTCAGCCAATCCCGTCCCAGACTGTTTACCATTGCCTCCCCCTATGGCCCCTCCCTACTTCTCCCCAGTGGTCTGATCAGATCTCTGTGTATCAAAACCACCTCTCTCTCAACACTTCTTCCACCCCAGATTTCCAGGAGGTGGTTTGTGAGGGGTCTGCCCTCACCACCCGCCAGCCATCTGCACTACAGTCATCATACCCCTACTTCTCTGACCTCTCCAGAGAGAGCAAAGGCTTTGAAGTCAGGCGGAGGGGAGTGGAGTGGATTTAATTGCTACTTACTGTGACCCTGAGCAAGTTACTCAGCCTGGCTGTGCCTCAGTTCCCACATCTGTAAGATGGGGTCAGAGGGTTCTTGTGAGGCCTGTCAAAGATAGAGTCTGGAAGGCACCCACAGAGGACATGAATATTGCTGATTAAGCTGTAAGTTGTACGAAGGAAGGCTTCAAGGGGGAGGTGACATTGAGCTGGGTTCTTATGGGTGGAACCTGCTTTCTAGGCAGAGGGAACGGTAGCTGCCCAGGGAGGGATGACGCAGCACAGGGTGTTTGGAGAAGGATAAGCGTGGCCGGGAAGTAGGCTCAAGGCAAGTGAGAGGACTGCGGCTAAAGAGGAGAGGAGGGCGGGAACCACCAGCGGTTGTTCAGGGCCACGCTGCGCTCTTCCCCGTGAAGCTTCTGGCTGCCTTTTTTTCAGGCCTCACCCCTGCGCACCAGGGCAGCTGCACCAAAGCTCTGAGGCTCTGCAGGCCCCCACGGGCCCACTGCTGGGAGTGAGTGCCCTCACACCCTTCCTGCCAGTCCGCTCCGGCCTCACCCAGAAGCCTCCCTCAGTTACTTGAGCAGAAAGGAAGTGTTCTTCTCTGAAATTCAGTCACTGCCACTCTGTCCCCAGGACCTGGACTCTCCAGGTCACTGCGGACTCCAACATGGTCCCTGATATCCTTGAAGCACATGCCCCTTGTCAGCCTCTGGGGGCCTGTTTTGGTTCAGAAAGTACGGTCTTTCAGTAGCGTACTCAGACATGACTGTCCCACAGCACAGGCCATGTAATGAGTGCCTGTGACCTCAGCCTGTCGTAGACACATCTCTGACTTGTCCCTTTGGCTCCTGCTCCCAGAGGGGGTGCTCAGGCAAGACTAGTGATGAAGGAACAAATGTTATCTCCTCCCTTTGTCCATGAGCTTCTTAGGGCCTGGCATACAGCAGGGGCTCAATAAATGTTAAGATGCTGAGTATATGCCTCACAGACATGCCCAGAATCGACCAGCTTATGCACGGTTTCACCTCCCGCTTCAGTCAGATAATCAGTGAACTGAGATCACTACTGTTTACCGTTCATGCAGCAGACACTGAGACCAGAGACGAAAGTGACTTGTCCAGAGCCACACAGCACAGTAATGAGACTTGAGGGCTCGAACCCAGCCTCCTTCCTCTAACTATAATGAAATCATCATCATCCTGATGCTGCTATTTCTTGAGCACTTACTCCGCGCCAGCTACTTTAGAAGCACCGCTTCTTCTAATCCTCAGATGACAAAATTGAGCTCCAAATCTCCAGCTTTCTCCTGGGATTTGCTGGGGGCGGGAGGAGTGACTACAGCCTCTCTGTCCAGACCTGGGGAGCAGCAGCTGGGCAGGCCTGAGGACTCAGCACACAGCCTGGGGGCCACCTCCCACCTGACACAGTCGGCTGTCTCCCTGGGGCACTGGGCAGCGGCCTGCTCGACACTCCCTCCTCTGGGAGGTACCTCTCTAGGTAGGTGACCCCTGCCGGGGACTGAGTAGCCAGCCTCCAGTCCATTCCTATGCCCGACCTCTGCCTCCCTGCTCACCTCCAGGAAGCCTTTTCCCAGGAGACCTCTTGGGGAGAGCAGGGAGGGACTGTGGAGACCATGGAGTCCCCTCTCTTCCCCCACTTCATCGTTGGGGAAACCACAGCCCAGACAGCAGAAGACCTCCCAGCGGTCCTCCTGGCTCCTAGACCAGGGCTCTTTAGGCCCCACGCTGCTGCCAAGACCACGCTCAGTGCAAACAAAGCTGGCTGGGCCTTCCCACCGAGGGCAGCTAGCATTTAGGGCCTCAGGCTCCGGCTTTAAAACAGGAGACCTGTTGGTTCCACTCCCTGGCCATAGCGACACCCGGTGTGGGGTGGAGGTGAGTCTCCCAGGCCGGGAGAGAAGGGGTGTCTGTGGTCCTGCGGTCTCTGTACAGGCTCTGTTCCAGTTGCTTTCCACATATCAACTCGCAGTTACAACACCAACCAGATGAGAATGTCCTCATTTTACAGGTGAGGAAGCCAAGGACAGGAGTACCATCAGTAACCCCGTTTTACAGAGAGGGAAATAGAAGCTCAGTGATGCTAAGGACTGACTGGAGGTGAGGGAGCACGGGGGAGGTGGGGTTTGGACCTGGACCCCCTGACCAGAGTCTACCGTCTTCACCTGCACCCCACACTGCTCCTACTAAGTCCATACCCTCCACCCTGCACCCTGTGGGGTCTGGACCCCACATTTCCTCTCTGAAGCCAAGAGATTTTGTGGAAGAGGCTCCAAGGAGGTGCGCAGAGGCTTTGCTAGGGGAGCCCGGTGTGAAGGCATGCTATTATTTGAATATCACAGATCTAAACCATTGTGAAATGCCATTGTTGTCAGTTCGACTCTGCCTCTGCTGAGCCTTCCCAGAAAACTCATGGTGTGTCTCTGAAGGGAGGGTCCCTCCTCTGCAGGGAGGAGGACAGTGCCCTCTATTCACCTGTCACCCAACGCAAGCTGCCTTTGAGACGACCCCGGTGATCCCGACCTCCTGACACCTGTGACCTGTGCAGCCCCCTCCCTTTGAGTGAGGCTAAACCTGTGGGCTTGCTTCCACTGAACAGAGGGCAGCAAAAATGATGGGATGTCCTCATGGCAAGGATTTGAGGGAGGCCTCTGGCCACAGCCAGAGAGGACTGAATCCTGTCACCTGCCGAGCGAGCGAGCCCAGAAGGAGAGCAAGCGAGCCTTCAGATGAGGCCGCCGCTCAGAGGCACCCGGCTAAGCCACGCCTGGATTCTTGACCCATAAAAACCCTGAGATAATAAATGCTTATTGCTTTAAGCTGCTAAGTTTTGGAGGGTATTTGTTATGCAGCAATAGGCGATTAATACACCTAGTATTTGTCTATTTAGTGCCAGGCACTATGCTGCCCCCACGTTCATTCAAGATACATTTTTAGTGAGTGCCATGGTGTAGCAGGCGCCATTCCAGGGGTTGAGTTTAGAGCGGAAGCCACACAGGTGTCCTCGCTCTCAAAGATCTTGAGGTTGAGTTGGGGAGACAGATGTAAATGCACAGTGTGAGCAGTGCTGTGGGGGCCGGGGGGGCATGTGACACAGCCTGGAGAAGTCTGTGGAGGGATGTCCAGGACTGTGAGAGCCTTCCAGGCAAAGGTGAGCAGAAGGGGGCACCTCAGAAAGAGGCCGAGAGAGTGGCAAGGGGACCTGGCTCAGGGCGAGCGAGGGGGAGTTGAGCACGGGAAAAGTCTGGCTGGAGGGGGACATGGCAGAGGGAGGGCAGAGACTGCGCAGGGCCTCAAATGCCCGCCGCAGACTCATCTGCCAGGCAGTGGGGAGTCCCTGGGGGTAGTAAGCAGCTGAGGGACGTGGCCAGCAAGACTCAACACTGACAGCAGGGCGGAGGACCAGGCAGAAGGGTCAAACCAGAGGGCAGGAACCCAGGAGGATGATGGTGACGGCACTGGTCCTGGCAGGGAATGACGGAGGCTGGAGAGGAGGGGGAAGACCTCAGAGATGAGGAGGCAGAATGGATAGGATGTGAGGTCTGAATGGGTGGGGAGAGGGGGCGAGGAGCCCAAATTTCTGGTGGGATGTCTGGCTGAGCCTTTGCTTAGGTGGGTGTGCACAGCCACATGGACAGGTACTTGCTGGGAGGGGTACAGTGAGAGGCACGAGTTGGCCAAGTTGAGTTTGTGGTGTTGCCAGAAGAAACATCTACACAGGCTGCCCCACTAGGAAGAGGGTCCACCCCTAATCCAGCAGAGAAAAGCTACAGACTTGGTCTGGGACCCAAGGGCGATGCTGGATAGAAGAGGCACATCCGGAAGTTCCCCCGGAAGCCAAAGGGCCAGGGTTTGGGAGGTCTTGGGGGCGTGGGGCATCCCTGTAGACGTTAGGGCCACGACCTCAGCCCTCCCAGCCTAGGGTAGGGTCACCCACCTGCTGCCCGTAGCTCAGCGCCTTGTCGTAGAACGCGATGCCCGCCTCCAGCACCCGTGCGTGCTCCTCTGGGCTGGCGCAGCCCACGTCGAAGCCATGTGCATAGCCCTGCTCCGCCAGGCAGCGCGCGGCTCGGAGCTGGGGGTCCCCGTCGGCCTTGGGGTCACCCGCCAGGCCCATGAGGCTGGCCAGCTTCCCAGCACAAGCCTCTTCCTCTTCCTCCTTCCCTAGTCGCCCGTACACGTGTGTCAGATTGGCCCAGGCGTTGAGGTTGCCCGGGTCCTCACGGGCCACCTCGAGGAAGCGCTCTCGGGCTTCGTCCACCTCCTCCAGGTAGAAGGCAAAGGTGCCCAGGAGGTGGCGCACGGCCGCGCGCTGCGGGGCAGCAGCCAGCTCGAGCTCCTGCTGCAGGCCATCCCTTTGCAGCTTCAGGTCTCGGGCGCGGAGAGAGGCCGGCGAGCGTGGCTCAAAGTTCAGCTGCATCTCTAGGTGGAAGTGGCCCGGGAGGTAGTCCAGGTCGTCGATGAGGGCGTCCAGGTCCTCGGCCACGGCCTCGGAGTCCGCCATGTCTGCCCCACTGCCCCCCGGACCTGGCCCTTGACCCGGAGGCTGCGGAGGGCGGTGGATGAGGCGCCCACCCGAGCGAGCCAGGGGCGCGAGGCGAAGGTCAGCGCTCGGCGGCCCAGGGCGCGGCCACCTCCGGGTCCCCGGGCGCCTCCCGCCGGTGGGTGGGTCCCTGTGGGTGTTTCCGCTTTCGCTGCTCTGCGGCTCTTAGACGCCTGCATTGCACGACCAGGTGTGCCCGACAAACAGGTGCATTGCCAAATGCAGACGCACAAACCCCGGCGCATGGCAAAAGGCATATCTTCATTCTCTGCTGAAGAAACTGAGGCTCAGGAGGAAAAAGGACTTGCCGAGGTCACAGCACTGAGACGTGCTCAGCCAGGCCCTCCTCGGTGGGCACTGCGCCACCCGCCCTGAGTGAGCTCCCTGACTGGGAGGGTCAGGAGTGGCCCTTCCAGCTGCGTGCGTCAGTCCCCCTCACTCCTGCTGCTGTCCCATCCTCACCATAGTGCCCCAATGTCCTTCTTCTTCGGAACACAGCCTGCCACCTCCCTCTGGCTCTTCCTTTAGCCTTATTCATCAGGCTTCTGCACTTGGGATCTCGATGCCTCCTCTCTGCCCTGCAGTTGGCCCCATTGGGAAGACCCAGGGGCTCCATGTGCTGGTTCTAATGCTGGTTCTCCACCACTGAAGTGTGACCTTTATAATAATTTCACATCTCAGACTTTCCTCATCTCTGATGTGAAGGTGTCATCCTCTCACCCAGGGTCAGGGGAGATATCATGGGTAAACCTGGTAAGTATCACTGCATAACTGCCAGCTCCCACTCCTTACCCTTAGTTCCCAGCCCATCCTGCACCCCACCCGAGGCCTTGAAAAGCATAGGTTCACTACTCTCTAGACGCCTGGGCTGTGCCTCCTGCTACAAGGCTGTTCATCCTGCAGTGCTTGGCTTTTGGAGCAAGTCTGAACTTCTGAGCCCCTCCCACCTCTCTTCTCACTGGGGCTGGCTCCTGGAGACCCTGCTGCTTTGACTTTTTGAAAAACAGAGCCTTATTTTCAAAAGAGGAAATAGAGCCAACTAGTAAACTTATAAAAACATTTGACTTGAACAGTAAAAAAGTAAACAAAAACAACATTCTGGTGCTATTTTCCCCTGTAATTTTCAAGTATACGATTCAATAATTTAATGAGAAATTGTTACTATAAATTTCTGGAGACTAGGAGACAAAACGTGGCCTCTGACCTGCTCAGAAGGACCAGGAAGGATCCCAGAGTGTTTGGCTTTTTACAAAGTACTTATTGTGGTAACACACTTAACATAAAATTGACCACTTTAAACATTTTTAATCGTACAGTGCAGTAGCATTAAGTACATTCACACTGTTGTGCGGCCATCACCACCATCCACTTCCAGAACTTTTTCACCTTCTCAAATGGAAACTCTGCCCCCATTGAACAGCAACTCCCCAGCCCCTCCTGCCCGAGCCCCTGGGAACCACCATTCACTCAACTGCTGTCTCAACTAACTTGCTACTTTACCTACGTCAAATGAGTGGAATGTAAACGGATAATATAACATTCGCCCTTTGGTGTCTGGCTTATTCATTCAGACTAATGTCGGCAATGTTCATCCACATTGTGGCATATGTCAGAATGTCCTTCCTCTTTAAGGCTAAGTACTTCATTGCATGTATATTACACCTTTTGTTTATCTGCTCATCCATTCACCCCAAGAGGGTGGCTTCCACCTCTTGACTATGAACATGGGAACAATGCCGCTACGAACACGGATATACAAACATCTACTTGAGACCCTGTTCTCCATTCTTTTGGGTCTATACCCAGACGTGAAATGCTTGTTTGTGTGGTATTTCTACGTTTAATTTTTTGAAGAACGGCTGTACTGTTTTCCGCAGGAGCTGCACCATTTTACATTCCCACCAGCCACGCACAAATATTCCAATTTCTCTACAACCTCGCCAACCCTTGTTATTTTTTTCCAGTTTTCGTTGTGTGCTTTACGTCATGGCTTTTGACCTGACAGAGAAGGTGAGTAGGAGTTGTACTTCGACAGCAGGAAGGGCACATGAAAAGCCTGGAGGTTTGCAGTGCAGGGTGTACGTGGGGACAGAGCAGCCCACACAGGCCAAGCTCATGGAGCGTGGACAGGAGAGCGCAGGGGATGGGGACTGAAGCAGCGGCCACAGCCCCGTCACAGACGCCTGAGTCCTGGCTTGACCTGACCTGATTGATAACATAGATGGCTCCAGAATCTGGATGAGTTAGGAATTTTTTAAAAAGATTTTATTTATTTATTTTTAGAGAGAAGAGAAGGGAAGGAAAAAGAGGGAGAGAAGAGTTAGAAACTCTTGCAGCCAGGGAACTCCCAACCCCAGTTATGGGTTCCTTACCCACTGTCTGATTCTATACCTCACTAGATGGGACCAGCGCAAGTTACTCTCCCTGTCTGAGCCTTAGTTTCCTCTTCTGTGTAATGTGGGTAGGAGGAGGCCTGCAGCACTGCCTATCAGAGAGAGAGTGAGCTGCTGTGGTGGGGAGGCTGTGGACTGACCAGGGAAGGCTGCCTCGCTGCACAGCTGACTCCCCTGGCCTGCTCTGGTCTGTCTGGCAGCCAGGACTCCCAGCCCAGTGGACCTTGGCCCACATCCTGTGGTCACTCCTCCATGAGTCCTACAACCAAGAGGCTCAGGGTGGGATAGAAGCCACCCAGGCAGGTCTGGGCCACGCTGAGAGTACCTGAGCAGGCTCAGGGCTGGTCGCAAGGACTCTCCATGCACAGGACTTGGTAATGTACACAGCCACACCTCACTGACATAGGAACGCAGCTCCTCCAGGAGGCTGCGGTCCCATGTTCATGTCACAGATGAGGAAACTGAACCTTGGCTGGGGTAACTTGCCCAAGGTCAGCAGCTAGGAAGCAGCAGGGCTGGGATTCAAACATGAGTCCCTTTGAGGATTCATGCACTCTTGGGAAGCTGGACTAGATTCATTTACTTGTTCACTTGTCATTCGACAACTATTTAGTGAGCATTTACTATGTGCCAGGTACTGCCCCAGAGTGAGTGAGGCCCAGTCTCTGCCCTGCACCTTCTGAAGGTACCTATCCAAGGGCAGGTAATGACCTCTTACTGAGCTTCTGCTACTTGCCAGGAGAACACCTAAATTCGCTCATTTAATCCTCACAGCACTCTGGAGAGACAGAGATTATTAGCTTTATTTTATGGGTAAGAAAGATGAAAATCAGAAAGGAAGTGCTTACCCAAAGTAGCGCAGTTGGGAAGGGGCAGAGTCTGTGCTTGGATGACCCAGGTGTCTGTTCTGTGTGTGTTCGGCTCAGCAGCTGTGGCTGTGGCCCGCCTAGCCTGGTGCCCGAGCTTCATGGCTGTGCTGGGGGTCCGAACTTCTTATCTAAATACTATACTGGCCCTGGCTGGTGTGGCTCAGGGGATTGAGCTCCAGCCTGCAAACCAAAAGTTCACTGGTTTGATTTCTGGTCAGGGCACATGACTGGGTTGTGGGCCAGGTCCCCATTTGGGGGCTTGCAAGAGGCAACTGATTGATGTTTCTCTCACACATCGATGTTTCTCTCCTCTTTCTCCCTGCCTTCCCCTCTCTCTGAAAATAAATAAATAAAATGTTAAAAAAAATGCTACACTGGATGTCAGAAGGGCATTGGGTGGGGCCTGAAAGGAGACCCACTGCCCCAGCAGTCCAGTTCCACCATGGGCTAGATGCAAAGGAAGTCCTATTTCTGACTTACGTCTTGTCATCATAAATGAGATGTAGCTCTTTGCTGTCCCAGATAAACAAGGAGGAGAGAGGAGAGCACATAATCTCAACTGCTTTCTTTACCTAGTAGGTCATACATATACTTCAGTGATGAGTTTGGGATCCTCCTCCTCCAGGAAGCCTTCCCTGATCTACCCACCCACAGGCTGGGTCACAGACCTTCCTCTCTCATAGGCCTGGCTACACTTTGTGGTCATTGTTTTTCACACTAGATTTTCAGGACTGGGACCTCATGTGGGTCCCGTGCACCCTGTACAGCCTCTGCAGATCGAGATGAGTGTGTTTTTGAGGGATGTCTGAAGGAGGATGAGTCCTGACTCTACCTTTTCAACCGTTCCTTCCCTCTCTGCAGCCTTATTCGTGCCTTCCCCCTCTGGCTCTCCTTCTCTCCTCCAAGTGGAGGAGGAACCAGGTGCCATCTTTACCCAAGTCAGGCCTTCCTTGGGTCTCAGCCGAATGCCCTGGGTGGAGGCATGCGAGAGGTAACTGATGGAGGTTTCTCTCACCCGTCGATGTTTCTCCTCCTTTCTTTCTCCCCCTCCTTTCTCCTCTCTCTAGAAAATAAATACATAAAGGCTTTAAAAAAAGAAAAAGGAAAAAGAAAATTAAAGAAAAAAGTCAGGGCCCAGCACGGGCAGGCCGGCGCGGGAGCCGTGTCGGCAGAGACGGCAGAGACGCGGCCGCGGCTGTCTGGCGAATCACAAATCTCAAGGCTCGGTTGCTGTGGCAGCGCCACGCGGACCCGCTGTGCGGAGAAGTCCCGCCGGACTCCCGCCAAGAGGGAAGGGCCTCGCTGCTGGGGACTGGCCAGCGAGCACCATGGCCGTGAAGCGGTTCAGCGGGGCGCCCTTCGGGGTGCAGAGCCACAGGTGGGGCTGGGCTAGAGGACTGGAGGGAGAGAGGGCCCTCGAAGCAGGGCGGGAGCCTGCGGGAGGGGGGAGCTGTATGAGGGGGGCTGGACTTTCTCTGCCTCATATCTGCTGCGCTTCCCGGCCCAGAAGTCCGTTCATCACCGTTATTAAGTTATTTAAAACCATCTCAAAAGCACCTGTAAGGTGCCAGGCTCAGAGAGGTCGAGTAGCCTGGCCCACTGCAAGTCACTCAGCTTAAAAGTGCTGGGTAGGGTTTCAGCCCAGGTGTCTCTTTATTCATACGTACATGTGATACTGAGTTGTACGTATATGTATATTCATATCACATACATATGCACACCACCTATTTTATACTCATATATATGAATGATATAATTGATACAGGTGATATATGATTTGGGGGATATGTATATATAATCTCTCCCCCCAAAATCCGGAACTTATCTGTAAAAAATAGTGTATTTATTCTCACATTTAAACTTCAGTCACTTTCAAAGTACTCTTCGTTTGATGCTGTACACCTTGTGAGACATTTTTCCACTGCTCAAAACAGTTTTTGAACTTGTTGATTTTGACGCCTTTGAGTGCTTCTGCTGTTTTTTGTTTTACCTCACCCACATCAGCGAAATGCTTCCCTTTGAGGAATTTTCCATTGGGGAAACAATAGTTGCTTGGGGTAAGATCTGGTGAATAGGGAGGGTGGGCATGGGGGTCAATTCCGTTCTTGGCCAAGAACTGCTGAACACTCAGTGAGGTTTGGGCAGGTGTGCCTGTAATCACCCATCATGAAATGGACAAATACGTTGAGTCTTCAGAAAAATTCCACCTAAGTTGAACGCCGCCTCTCACAGCAACGCCAGCTGGTACACTGATATGGATGGGTTTCCTACAACACTTATTGATTGTACTACCCAGAGGCCACCACCTTCCAGAAGATGTTTCTGGGATTTTTTGGGGGTCCCCCCTCATATATCACCTACTGTGTAATCAGGCACAGTTGTAGCATCTGGGGAGACAACAATTAGCAAAACCTTGGACTGAGGGTTTGCATTTGTGTGGGGTAGGGAGTTTGGAATGGATAATAAACCAAAAAGAAAAATGTATACAATGTTGGGTAGTGATCAGGGCTAGAGGAAAAGAAAGCTGGGAGGAGGACCTGGTGAGTGCTGGAGGGTGGGGTGGGGTTGCACTGAGAAAACGGCTTTTGGGTAAAGGCTCCCAGCATAGGGGAGGGGACTGGGCAAGGGCGGTGTCCAGGGAGAGGTAACCGGGAAGGATGAAGACCCTGAGGTGGGGGCAGCTCTGCTCACCCTTCACAGGCTGATTCTAAAAGCGCCTTCCCTACCCCAGAACCGCTTGTGCCAGAGCTGGGGGCCAGGCCCCGGGCTGTCACTGGGTCTGTGTCCTTCCCCAGGTTTGATGTCTCTGCTATCCACCCCAACCAGAAGAAGATGAGCACCTTCACGGAGGTCCCCTACTCCAGGCTGTACTCAGTGGATATGGTGAGTGTGCCCAGCTGCCGACTCTCCCAGATGGTCAGGCCTCAGCCCTTGGAGTCCCCCAGCATGGTGGGCGAGCTGAGCCATGTAAGGGATGTGCCTTACACCTCTCTATGCCCCTAGTCCTCGGCATTGAGCCTGGTTCAGAGCTGGGACAGGGCTCTAGTGAAAACAGCATGAATTGGGGCCACAGAGACTGGGTTCCATTTGCATCTCTTGCGCTGACTGGCTGTGGGCTCTTGAGTGAGTTACTACTCCTCCCTGAAGTGGGAGGGGCCAAGGTGGCACCTTGGTGCCAGGCTCGGTGCTGCCAGTGGGCCCAGAGGCAGGTCACGCCCAGGTCAGGGTGGCAGCTGCGTGCGAGCTTGCCCTGTGGGTGGACTGAGTGCGTGCGGCTGCCTTAGCCCTGACTGTGCTCTGACTCAGTCCCACATAGGACCTGGGACCTATGGCTGCAAGAGCACCTGCTTCAGCAAGAAAAAGCTGAAGAAGGAGATGGGCACAGGCTGGGCCAAGGCCCAGGAAGCCACGAGGCTGACCCAGATGCCTCACTTCCAGTACTAGACCATCATGAAACAGAAGAGGCTGCAGGTGAGGTCCCTAGGCCGTGCCCCTCCCCATTCCGGGGGAGGCCTCAGTGTCCTCCAGGGCCCAGGTAGAGCTCACCCTTTAAGGAACACCATCATCCCCAGGCTCCTTCCTGTGTGGACATCCCCAAGTGTAAGGTTTTCACCTTCTCTCTTCTCTTGGGACAGAAGGAAAAGCTGGGGCCTGGCTCCTACAACTTCAAAGACTTCTTAGAACAGCTGCAGCAGAAACCGTGCAGCACCCGGGGGCTGCTCAGCTCTGGGGAGGCCCGCTTCCGAGGACCCACTGGGGTAGGTGCTCTCCTGAAAGGAGTGGGAGCCCTCCCACCCTCTGCTCTCCTCGAGCCCGAAGGCTGGGTGGGGCTGGAAGTGCCCCTCTCGTCCCCTTTCCTCCCCAGGCTTGGCCAGGCTCTCCCTGGGGTCCCCACAGCCCTCAGCTTCCCAGTGCCACGGCCTCAAGCCCACTGGCTGTCGTGTATTCCTGCGCCTGTCCCCCAACTAAACTGGAAGTTTCCCGCTGGCAGGGATGGGTCTGGTTCATCTCTGAGTCCCCAGCAGAGAGCCTGGCATACATTCGGAGCTCAGCAAACACATTCATCTTTATATCCAGACATCCAGCCAGAGAATCATGATGGAGCACCCACTGCGTGCCATGCACTGTTGTTGGTCCTGGGGACCCAGCAGTGATGAAGACAAGGTTCCTGCTCTCCTGGAGCTGGCATCCTGGTGCTAGAAACAGCAGAATAAAGAAGCAGGTCATATATGATCAAGCAGGAAACTTGAGACAGGAAAGGGGTCCGAGAGTGACAGAGGAGCAATTTATAGGGTGGTCAGGGATGGCCTCTGGGAGGAGGTGACATCTGAGCAAAACCTGCAGGACACAAGCAACTGAGATTCACAGTATCTGTGAGAGGGCATGCTGGGCAAGCAGGAACAGCAAAGACTAGGGCCTGAGTCAGACCAGCAGGCAGGAGGCAGTGTGGCCAGAGAGGGTGGGCAAGGAGGGAGAGAGCAGAGGAGGGAGGGCCGGCCATGAGGACCTTGCAGCAATGTGGGGGCTTCTGGTTTGATTCCAAGTGCTGTGTGAGTCAGTGCAGGGTTTTAACAGGAAGGGCTTGACTGATGTGCTCAGAGGGACACCCTGCTTCTGGGGGTGAGGGCTGGAGGCTGTAGTGGTCCAGATGGGAGGCGGTGGCCATGGGAGGTGGGGGTAGGCTGGGCCCACATGAACACCTCGTGTGTGTGTGTATGTAGGGGGCACTGAGTGGGGTTCAAGCTTAGTTAGGTCATGAGAGAGAAGGCAGGGATCCCACCACACCAGGTGAGTGCTGTGGTTCGCTGAGCGCCTCACCTCCCAGGCCCTCACGCCCTCTGTGCTGGGCACACTCGGCCCTCTCCCAGCTCCTCACCTGTGCCGCACTCTTGCAGCTAGAGCTCTGCGCCTGCTCTTCCCTGTTGTCAGAAATGCCCTTCTCCCTTGAGTAGCCTTTCACCTGAAGATTGCCCACTCAGCCCTCAGCTCTCAGCTCCAAGGTCTGACCTGAGCCCCACTGGGTGACATCTCCCTTTCCTGAGAGTCCCTGTTGTGGTCGCGTGTTTAGTGTCTCCCCCTCCCCACACTGGACATCAGCCCCTGAGGGTGGACCACGTCTGCCTAGTTACTGCAGAACTCTCAGGTCCTGGCAGTGCCTGGCACCCAGTCGGCACACTGTTATCTGTGGACGACCTGCAGGCATGCCTCCTGAGTACCAGGCTCTCCAAAACATTCTCCCTTTTTGCATTCGCTCCAGATGAGGCCCTGGAGGCTCAGACAGGATGAGCAGCTTGGCCCCAGGCTGCACAGCTGCGAGTGAGGAACGTGCAGGCCCCCACCCAGGGCCTCTCCCCGACACCTCACCACTGGGAAGCTTTCTCTGAGGCCTGGAAATTCCTTCTCCCCTTTTCCAGGGGACAATCACCTGCATCTTCAGGTTCAGACGCTGTAACTGCAACTCAGGGAGAGGGGCTGCCTGCAGGCATTTAAAAATGAGTCATCACCTTCAAGTCTGAAGAAGTCATAGCTGACCCCAAACAACCCTTACCATAAGTTAGACACTGTTCTAAGGACTTCAGTGTACTCATTAACTTAATCCTCACAATAACCCTGTGAACTAGGCACTGTCATTACCTCCACGCACTAGATGAGAAAACTGGAATACAGAAGGTTTTGGGAACTGCCCAGGGTGGCAGAGCTGCTAAGGGACAGAAGCAGGATTGAATGCAGGCATTCACGTCTAACACTGCACTGTACCTGTAGGCTCAGCTACTGTTCCTCAACTCACTGGGAAGGGCGGGGCCTAAAGGCAGAGCCCAGCCCAGCCGAGGGCAGAGGAGTTGAGGGAACATAATGGATACTGTGTGTTTCCTGCCTGTGTTCCCAGCTCCCAGCTCTGGGGCATCTGGGAGTGCTGGCTGAGCAGGGCGACACTGCCATGGTGGGTCCCTCCATTCCGGCTGTCTCTTCTCCCTGGTGGTGCCACTACCTTCTCCTGCAATGACCTTTCTGAGTCACTCTCACAGGCTCAGCCCCGGACAGTGGTTCAAGGCGGCATCGCTGCTGGGGGTGGGGGCAGGGTGGGGTGTGAGGGCAGTGCCTGGGGGAGCTCAGGTCCAACACCTGCTTTTCTTAGTCGTGGTCTTGCTGTGAGACCTGGGCTGGAACCCTGATGGCCTCTTCTGGTCTCTGGTCCCTACTGTTGCCCCCCCTCCCACCCCCCGCCACACTACAGCTCTATAAACATCACTTCCCAAAGCTGTGGGTGCCTGCCTTGGGGTCCCGTGACTCCTTCCCCAAGGAGGATGGGGTGTCAAACCCTGCAAAGGCAATGCCTTCTCCTCTGGTTTCTGAGCCCATCCCCCACTGGCACTGGGTGCTGCTGCGCCTCCCCCCCCCCCCGCGCACCCTCCCTTCTCTTGGCTTTGGGGACCCTGGGCTCTGCAGCCCTGAAGTTCCTCTGCCAGCTTCTCTCCATAACTCCTCTTCCCCAGCACCCCACCCCCTGGGAGAGCTCTTTCTCCCAGCCAGGCTCCATGCAGATGGTTCCAGATCCCCCGCCTGGGGTCCCTCAGCACCTCAAACTCTGCAGCCCCCACCCATCACATGCCAGCATCTCTTGTTTTTCCAGGGAATGGCTCCACCCAGCTGCCAGAGCCAGGAACCCAGCACACCTCGCTCCCCTGCAGTCGCTGGGGTCTGTGTTCTCAGCCTCCTCTCTCTCTCCTCCTCCTCTCATCCCTACTGCCTCTGCCCTGGCCCAGACCACTGCCTCCCCCCCAACCCAGGGGTGGACTCTGGATGGATTCGCTGGTCTGCTACATGGCCAGCACCTCCCGAAGCACCCACACACCTCAGAATCAGGTCTTACCCTGCCTCAGTGGGGCCTCTAGGGACCTTCCCACCCTCTTCCCCGCATACCTCTCCCAACTGACCTCACAGTAGTGTTCCAGCCTCCCTGCCTTTGCCCCTCTGCCTGGGGGAACTGCCCCTTCCCCACACCCATCTCCTGGGATCCTTCTCACTCTTCAAGGTCCAGCTAAAAAAATCTTTAAGTGCCAATTCCTCTATTCCCATGCACCCCTCCCCCCAGAATTAATCACTCCTCCTGCCTGGATCCCAAAGCTCTGACAGCATACTATTCTATTTAAAATCATGGGCTTTCTCCCTGGCTGGTACGACTCAGTGGCTTGAGTGCTGGCCTGTGAACCAAAAGATTGCTGGTTCGATTCCCAGTCAGGGCACATGCCTGGGTTGCTGGTCAGGTCCCTAGTTGGGGGTGCTCGACAGGCGACTGATTCTTTCCCTCTCTTCCCCCTCCCTTCCCCTATCTCTAAAAATAAATATGTAAAATATTTAAAAATAAAGTGAAATCACGGGGTTTCCCAAATGTGTTGCCACACCTCTGGACCTGGAAGGAAGGGTGAGGCTCTGCCAGCAGAGTGCCGGGCACTGGGCCCAGGAGCAGGGCAGAGGTTACTCTCACCCCTTTTACAGCAGTCACTTCTAATGCCTTCTCCCCACCACCCCCGCCTTGTGGCGCTCACTGCCCTCCTACCTCGGTGCTTACACGGTGCCTGGCAAACCGTAGGGGCTCGGAAAGATCCTGGGTTTTGGAGCTGGAACCCTCAAGCTGCCCCTTTCCGGAGGTGAGGCCTTGGAGCCAAGGATTGCCTCTTGGAGCCTCAGTTTCCCCATCTGTTAATTGTGGATGGCGCTGATTTGATCTCATCTGGTTGTCTTCAGGACCGAGATAGTAGGCTGGTGAAACAGCTAAAATATGAGGCCGGGGTCCAGCTTCCTACCTTGGGGCTTTTCTGTGGAACACACTGGAAACCCCCGGCTCTGGAAGAGGGCAACGTTCAGTTGTGTTCCTCTGAAGGCGAACAATTCGGACGCCCGCAGCGCCCTGACTCCCCCAACAGAGTCCCTGTCCCCTCCGCCCTGCCTGGTTTGGGGCTCTTCCTCCTAGAGGAGTCGAGGTGGGAAGAGCTGAGCGATCGTGGAGCGGGAGCGACCCCTGGTGACCAAAAGATGCAGAGTAGCAACAAATATCCTGCTGGTTCTCTGCCCAAGAACCCCCACCCACCTACACTGCAGCGTGCCTCTCCTCGCACTACCTACAAAGAACATATTTCCGACCTTGGCAATCAAAGTTCCAGAAGGTCATTCCAGCCTTCCAGTCATAATTCTCAGCCTTTCTCACCTCTTCCCGCCCCCTCCAAGACAGCTGCCCCACCATGGGCTGGGAACTGTGTAAGAGGCTTTATGGATACTTTAAAAATTTCATCCTCATTACCCTGGAAGAAAGTATTACTATCCCCATGTGACAAAGGTGAACCATGAGGCTCAGAAAGATTAAGTGGTCTGCTCAACATCACTCAGCTGGGAAGCAGCAGAGTCAGGATTCGAACCCAGGACTCCGGATCCTTCCTGGTCACATCAGTGTTCATGACACAGTGTGAGACCCTTTCATGCAAATGCAGGGCTATGACATGGGTGCAATGGATGGAATTTCAGAGGCCACCAAAGCAAGCAACTGTGTGAGGTGACAGGTGAAGGAAAGCTTCATTCCCAGGAGAGAAGATGTGCAGGATCAGAAGAATTTCCCAAGGGAGAGAAGGCAGGAAGGACATTTCGGGTAGCAGTGAAACAGCACCAGTAAGCACAGGCAGGGAGGCTGGCAGAGCGGCATGTGTCTGGGGACCCGCAAGGACCCACGTAGGCAACATGAGCTGACTGGGCAGAGGGCCCTGGTGAAGAGTCGGAGCGTGGGCCCGAAGGTCTGATCGGCGGCGGAGGCTCGCGGGACAGCAGTGCTGTGTGTTGGGAGGTGGCTGACCCCCAGGGTCCCTGAAAATCCTGTTCCCCTCTTGGGGGCGTGTCTTCCTCAGGGGCACTTAGCACGAAGAGTGGGACTGATGGCCTTCATGTTCCCCCTCCCCCCACAGAACTACTATCCAGGCCCTGGAAATTACGGCGAGAAGGGCAACCCATACACGAAGCTGGAGGAGAAGGCCTGGAACCGGTCTCATTCCGAGGACCTCCTGTGCAGGATGACCAACAAGCCACCCGCCTTGGCTCATCAGGTATCCCCCTCACCTGGCCAGGCCTGGCCAGGCCTGGCTGCCTTCCTACACAGTTCTGGGGATAGGCTCCTGGTGCAGATGGGGAAAGCAAGACCCCGAGGGGGCGATGCGCCTGCTTTAGCAGCCCTCCCGCAGGGACTGGCGTCTGTGCTCTGTTCCAGGGCAGCGGTCTGGCACCATGCACCTACACCCTCAAAAGCGGCATAGAGGCCTGCTTGGAACGATCCACGGGCACCCGCGGCCCCTATGAAATTTTCACTGGTGATCGAAGCAAGCCCCAGCCGTATGGACACTACTCCACGCAGGTGTGTGCCCGGGTGGGGCAGGAGCCGTTCCCCAGCAGGATGACAGGCCTCACCTCCACTGGGAGCACTGCTCTGCGTGCCAGGCACTGTGCAGGGCCCTCCTCACGTCCTGCACGTTTCTCCCTTGCAGCGTTAGAGGGGACGCTGAGGCTGGCCCACCACAGCTAAGGCCCAGGGCTGGGGTTTGAACGCCAGCATGTCTGTTTGACTTCACTGCCAGTTCTCACTCCTCTGCACTGGCGTGAACTCCAGGGGCAGTGCCGACAGCCACAGTGCGAGGATGGATGGGTGGCAGACTGGCCACACAGCCTGCAGGGACCTTGCCAGCTCAGGTCTGGGTGTCCTGCTGTCCGGGACACACTTCCAGACATCACAGACTCCACGGAGCTGGCTGGGTTAGTGGCACACTACTAACAAGGCAGGGAACTGCAGGGCCAGGAGGGGAAACTGAGGTGGAATTTTAGCTCCATCCTCCCTTTCCTGTACCTAGGAAGTTCCTGTTGTGTAACTGGTACCACCCCATGCTTTGTCTTCTGCTCATAGCAGCTGGACTTAAGCATTTGTGTGATCACCTAGTTTTGTCTCTGCTATGCATTCGCTCAGTGTGTACATTTAGGCCAGGCAGTAGTCTGGGTGCAGGGGAGACTTGCCCCTCTGGCATTTACATTCTCATGGAAATAGAAACACAGTCCTGAGTAAAACACCGTGTAGCATGCTGCCAGGTGGTGAGTGCTGTGGTGAAGGGCGTCAGGAGTGCTCGTTGGTAAACAGCCGTTGAACTGAGCCTTCCACCTGGTGCCGGCTCCTCGGGCCTTTCCCTGACCGGCTACTGGGGTGCGCCTGCCCAGCGCAGCAGGGACCTCGGGACCTTCCTCAGGCCTGGTAGCCGGTGTCCATTCTGGATGCAGTACATTCAGAATGAATTCTGAATGAATTTTTTATTATCTAAAAAATAATGGACTTTATTTCTAGTTTAGGTTCACGGCAAAACTGAGAGGAAAGTACCGAGTTCCCGTGTGCGTTCTGTCCCCCTTACACGCACATCCCCTCCCCTGCGGGCGCCTCGCCCCAGAGTGGAGTGCTGGTTATAATCCATGCAGCCACACTGATGCGCCCTCACCGAAGTCCACAGTTTACACAGGCGCCACTTTCTGTGGTGTTCGTTTATTCTGTGGGTTTGGACAAATGTACCCACCACTGTAGTGTCACACAGGGTAGTTTCACTGCCCTGAAAGTCCTCTGTGTTCCCCCATCACCCTGGCTTTTAAATATCTGGACTACTACACCTGCGTAGAGCTGTGCCCAGCTCAGTAAGTGTTCCTCACAGGAGTGAAGGAAAGAAGGACTGGATAAACTCCAGCTGGATTGCAGGGTGGGTGGGGCACGTGGCGGTGGGAGGGGGTGGGGCTAGGGGCTCAGCCAGACTGAGCCCAGCCCCGGGCTGGGGGATGCTTCTCCGTCTTCCCCGGGGGTGGGGCTGGCCATAGCAGGTCCTCAGGCAGGGTGGCAGTGATGGCTCCTTGTGTGGCCACCCGCTTTCCTCCGACTGCTGGTGAGCGTCCAGAGAGGGGAGCGTGGATTGTCTTGGCATAACAGATACCCTTTCCCCGCTCTGTTTCACAGAAAAAAAAGCCCAGGGAACTGGTGGATTTTAAGAGCTTCGTGGAAGAACTTAATTCCCCTCACTATAAGAAGCGTGGGGTGTTTTCGAAGCTTTCCCGCTACCCGACAACCCCTACAGAGAAGATTTACTGGTGCACCCTCAGCCAGTGTCCTGGAAGACTAGTCAGTGTCCCTGCCAGGGCCTGCCTGCCTTCCTCTCTGGGAGGGTGCCGCTCCCGCAGGGCTGGGGTGGGGTGGGCTGGCTGTCTCACGGGGAAGCTCAGGCTCGGTGTCGGACCCACCCGGTCCCAGCCTTGCACTCACAGTCCTGCTGGCTGCAGCCCTCTCCCTCTCCCAGCCTTGGTTTTCACACTTGATCTAACCGGGACCAGACCACAGTGAGCTTTAAACGAGGTCAAGGACTGGCGCCCACAGTGAGGAGCCTGGTACCCAAAAGGACCTGGCTGGCACTGATCTCTACCTTGTCCCTCAGAAAATGAGGGGGACCCTGGGCCAGGGCAGAGCGTGAACGAGGGCTGCACATCTGCCCCGGCCGAGGGAGTGTCAGGCTCCGGATCTGTTGTCCTCGGAGTAGACCCCTGACCGTAGCTGAGTATCACCCCTCCCCACCCTGCAGGGTCTGCCCCCTTGGAGAGAACTGCTGAGGGCTTGGGAAGGAGTGGGGCCTGGGGAAGGAAAAAGGGTACCAGTGTTTTCTGAATGCCTGCTCTGGGCCAGGCACCTTCTGGGGCTTTCCCCCATGGAGCCATTACCATTTGCACTTCACAAAAGGAAATGCCCCCAGAGATAGGAAGGGATCTGCCCAGGCTCCCCCAGCGATGGTGTGAAGGGGCAGATGGGAGCCCCACTCGTCTAGCTCCGGAGTCTGAGTGGCTTCTCTCCCCAGACTGGGTCTGGGCATCTCTCTGGACTCTGCTAGGCCTGGAGGCCCTTGGGAACCTGGAAAGAGGTGTCAGACTAGTGGCCAGGGGTTTGCACGGGCATCATGGCTCACGAGGGCACCAGAGGACCCTGCAGCCTTGGAGGGTGGGCTCCTGGTGTGTTGGGAGGTGGCTGTGTACCTTCCAGGGTCCTTGGCCGGAGGCCCAGGGAGCCCTCACCTGCCCTGCCCCAGCTGACCACTGCCAGACCTCCCGGCTCTCAGTCTTCATTCCCTACCCCTAGGGTCCCAGTATGTGGATGCCTCCGGAGAAGAAGTACATACACACCAACCAGCCACCATTCCTGCTGTCCTCTAAGCGGACAGGCTTGCGGGTCTACCAGATGCTCCTGGGAAGCTGGGTGAGTGGGTCTCTGTGGGGCTATGAGCATTCCCGAACCCTTCTTGCCCCTGGGAACTGAGGCTCTGAATGAGCGGATTCCCCCTCTTTTCTCTGCTATTGCAGGGACCAAATGTTGAGAACTACTGTGCTACATCACCCAGGAACCAACTCATTCCCTTACTTTTTCCCTGGAATGTCTTCCCCTCCCTCCATTCTCTCTGTGAATTTGTCTTGAGGCCTCAGGGGCAGCTCGTGGAGTTGGCCTATTTCTCATGCCCAGTTGGGCAAGGAGCCCCAGTGTTCCCTTCTTCTCCCCCTCCCCAGAGGCAGCCAGCCCCACCACCTGTGGGATGTAATCTCCCTGTCCTGCCTGGCTCTGAACCACTGTACCTTTTTAAGGCCTCTCCTAGGAACATCTGGGCTGTAGCTTATTTGCTTTCTCATTTCACTCCCGCTCCCCCACCCCCAAGCCCCATTCCCACTCCTCTGAGGAGAGAGCAGCGTTCCTCCCACCTCCCCTCCCCACCTCCGCACGTCCCTGAGCAATGGCTTCACCCCCAGCATGCCCACAGCCTCCCCCACCTCTGCCCTACCTGATTCTCATGAGGACCAGCGGGTCAGTCCCCTGAATCCTTCCTTTCCTCACCTCCAGCCTGCATCTCCTGTTCAGAAAAGAGTCAAACGACCGTGCCATTGTCCCAGGGCTGGCCAAAGTGGGAGGGGCTGAAGTGAAGTCTGGTTTCCAGAGTCCCAGCTCTGCCTGTGCCCAGTTTGGGGAGCCCTCTGCCTGCCCACCCGGCTGGGAGCCTGCTCCCCCATGAAACAGGCCTTTTCATTGTTGGCTGCAAGTTCAGCTTCACAGGGGACTAGTGTTTGGCTCCTAACATCTCCCAGCTCACCCTTGGCACTACTTCTCTGCAGAAGGCCGGGTCCCTGTCCTGACATTCTCCTGCCCTCACTAGTCACCCTGGGCAGGTTGCATCTCCTCTCTGACCCTCTGTTGGTGCCTCCTGTGTCTGCGGCCAACCCAGGTGTCTGGGTGCAATGTTGTGCTGGTTTCCTAGGGCTGCCATAACAAAGTGCAAGATGGTTTAAAACAGCAGGAGTTTATCCTCTCAGTCTTGGAGGCTGGAAGTCTGAACCCCAGTTGTCAGCAGGGCTGTGCTCCCTCCGAAACCTGCTGGGGAGAATCCTCCCTGGCCTCTTCCTAGCTGTGGTGGCCAGCAGTCCTTGGAATTCCTTGGCTTGCAAATGCATCCCTCCTGTCTCCGCCTCCATGTTGTACGGCCATCTTGCTCCTGGCTTTTCTTGTAAAAGGACCCCAGTCACCCTGGATTAAGGGCCCGCACTACTCCAGTACAACTTCACCTTAACTAATTGCATCTGCAACTACAGTATTTCCAAATAAGGTCCCACTCTGGCATACTGGGGGTTAGGACTTCCACGTATCTTTTGGGGGGGACACAGTTCAACCCATAACAGATGGAGTAGAGATGCACCTGGGGGAGGGGAGGAGGCCTGAGATCAAGTGTCAGGGCCAGGTGTCCAGCCGGCTAACATCCTGCCTTCCTGCCTCCTGTCCCTGGTGCAGAACCCTGTGGGTGTGGGCCGCTACTTCAACACCTGGCCGGTGGAGACGAAGGACCAAAGGCAGCGATATCGGTCCTTGTTCTTGGGAGGATCCAAGCGCTACCTCTCAGACCTGAACTGGGACAAGTTCATGCAGTGAGTGCCACTGGAGCTTCAGCAGAGGGGCCAGGGGCGGAAGGGCTCACTCTGGGGTGGGCGGGGTCCTCCCCCACCTTGTGCTTGGTTCCCATGGGAACATAGCTGATGCCCCTAGTGCCAGGCAAATAGCTGTGGCAGTGGAGAGAGTTCAGAGCCTGGCTCTGCCCTTTCCTGGCTGTGTGAGGTGGGGCATGTCGCTTAACCTCTCTGAGCGTCATTTCCCTCAACTGTCAAATGAGCAGAGGACTGTGGAGAGTGAAGTGAGACACTCTGTCTAAAGCAGTGGTGAGGAGAAGGGTGGCATCACCACTAACTCCTCCTCTCACCGCCCACATGTTCTGGGCTCTGCCTTGCAGGGCTTCACCCCATGGAATCTCCGTTTCTCGGTGTTTACAATGGGGCTGGTAAAAAGCATTAGAGGAAGTTTTGTGAAGCCAAAAGAAAAAGTGCATGAAATACCATGGCTAGCTGTGAAACAAGTCACAAATGTTAGCAGCTGCCACGTTTCATGGACCCGAGCGGCCGTCGGTTGCCGTGTGTTCTCGGTTTCAGAAATGGGAAAGCGAGAGTGAGCGTGCACCTCAGCGCTGATCACTTGTTGGAAACCCTGGTGAGGGCATGAGGACCAGGCTCTGGGGCTCAGAGCGCTCAGGGAAAACCAGCTTTTAAGTGTTTATTTTTATCGAAATAGTCCTGTGTCTTCCTCTTTGATCTATTCCCTGAGTAGGTGGCTTCCATAGAAAAGGTAATTGGGGGTAACATTTTTGATAGGCTGCATTCCTGAAAATTTTTTTTCTTACCTGTGCAACTAGTCAATAGTTTGGTTGGAAATACAATTTTAGGTTGGAAATGATTATCCCTCAGGATTTTGAAGGCTTTGCTCCCTTGCCTTTGAGTTCCAAGCGTGGTGGCTAGAACCAGGCGGTTCTGATGGAAAAGCTCTGGAGGTCGTCGGTTTGGCCTCGCACCCAGTGCAGGGTCCCCCGGGAAGCACAGCCAGCAGCTACCTGTTCATCGCTGTGGGTGCTCTTCAGGGATGGGGGGCGGCGCACTCTTTTCCAAGGGAACAGTTCCATTTTCTTTTCTTTTTTTTATGTCTTTTTAAAGGGAAAGGCTTACACCTTTTACTAAGGGGAAGTGCCCTCCAACTGTGGATTACAATTCAGATCCTACTCCTTAAAGCCACGCATGAAGGACAGCCGGCGGTGGCCAGAGGGCCCAAAGGACTGCAGAAAAACCTGGGGACGGGAGAGCAGAAGAGGGAATGGAGGGGTCTTGGAGAAAGGACACACGGGAACGCATGGGAGGAAGAGAGGTGTGGGGATGTGGCGGGATCACTTTTACTGGAGTCATCTACCTGGAGGTTGTGGTGTCTGCTGGAACACCTGGAGCCAGATACCTTTTGCTACGAGAGAGAGCAGTTATTCTGAGAATTCAAGTTGGCCAGTGACATAAACACGGGAGCCAGACAGCAGATGGACCAAAAGGGTGAAACATGGTGGACACTTTTGGGACCCTTCCAATCTAAGGTCAAAGTCCTTGGCTCCCTGTTCATTAAAATCCAAAAAGAGGCGAGAGAGTGTGAAGTCTGTCATGAGGCAGCTCAAGGTCCCCTCCAGGAGTATTCCGTCTCCACCCCAGGATGCTTCTGGAAGCTCGGCAGGTCCTCCGGCGATAAGGACCCTTGCTGGTCTGTAAGCAATATGCAGCCATTGGAATGGTACCTGCCTCCCCCAGAGTCACGCCTTGTAAGCACACCCGTCTAGGGCAAAGGTGGGCTGTGGGCAGTGGCTGCAGTGTCTTGAGCTGTTTTTCTGTTGGTGAGAGGTTGGCTGGGAGGATAGGAGATCACTGTCCCTAGAGAAGGGAGACTAGGACGCCATAGCCTCAGCCATAAACCCACATGATGATTGAAAAGTACTCCAGATGCTTCCTCCAGAGCCTGAGTGTGTTACAAAAAGCAGTTTCTTTTTCACTCATGGAAAAATGACTGTTTTGAAAGAAGTAACACTGTCTTTATTCATAGACAACATGAATCTGTGTAAAAATCATACTAAAACCTCAAAGAAAATTTTAAAAAGCCCATAAGCCAAACTAGACACAAATTAGATTTAGTAAGTCAGCTTATTTAGTAAGGTTTTAGGAAGCTCAACATACCAAAATCAACTATTTCTATGTACTAGCAATAAATAATCAAAAATTGAAAATGCCCTTTAAAATCACATCAAAACTGTGCAATACTCAGGTTTAAATTTGGCAAAAATTATACAAGCTCTGTATGCTGAAGACTACAAAACACTGATGGGAGAAATCAAGGCCCCAAATAAGGGAGAGACATGCTGTGTTCGTGGGTCAGAGACCCCGTGTTGATGAGACGGATTCAAAGCAATCCCAGTCACAGTTTCAAGTTGACCAGTGTATCCTGAAACTTACAGGGAAGAACGGAGGCCAGGAAATAGCCAAAACAAATTTTAGAAAGAGGAACGGAGTTGCAGAATTAACATTACCTGAGTCTGCAGTGTGGAATGGGTGTTTAGGTGGACAGGTGAAAGGAATAGAACTTGGAGAGCCCAGAAACACACACACACACACACACACACACACACACACACACACACGCACGCGTGCGCGGACAACTGATGCTGAACAATGATGCAAAGACAACCCAGTGTAAAAAGAGTGGCGTTTTCTACAAACGGTGCTAGAACTATTGGATGTTGACATGCAAAAAATAAAAAGAACCATGACCAATCAGACTTGCATCATGCACAAAGGTTAACTCAACCTGGACCATAGACCTAAGTGTAAAATCTAAACTATAAAACTTCTGGAAAAAAACATAAGAGAAAATATTTGAATTTGGAGTTAGGCAAATATTTCTTAGATACCAATGTAACTACTTATCCAAATGTTTAACTAGTTAACAATTTGTTCAATTGGATTTCATTAAAATGAAACACTCAGGGGAGAATGGGTAGGCTTTACAGGAACAAATTTAAAGGACACATGGACAAAAACCAGGGGGAGACTGGTAATGGGAGGGAAGAGGGATGAGTGGGTGGGCTGGAATGGGAGTAAAAGGAGAAAACTGTACTTGAACAATGATTAAAATAAAATAAAATAGAAAAAAGCAAAAAAGAGAGAAACACTTGTTCTTTTAAAAACACTCTTAAAAAAGAATGGAAAGACTAGCAACAGATAATATTTGCCAATCATAGAGCTGATAAAGGACTTATATCCAGAATTCAGTCACCAAGAAAATGCAGATTAAAACCACAATGAGATACCACGGCCCACCTGTTAGGATGGCTGAAATCAAAGCGCCTGGCCACACCCAGCGTTGGTGCGGTTGCTGGGATGGCCTGCTCACACTCTGCAGGGGGGAATGCAAGACACTACAACCCCTTTGGAAAACAGTTTGGCGAGATACAAAGTTAACCACACGCCTACCAGATGATCCAGCCACTCCCCTCCTGGGTATCTCCCCAAGAAAGGAAGGCACTTGTCCATTCAAAGACTGTACAGCAATGGTCCAGCCGCTTTATTCCTAATCGCTCCAAAGTGGAAATGCCCCAAATGTCCATCAACAGGCGAATGCAGAAGTATTCGTGGTTTATCCATACATGTGTCAACACTGAGCAAACTGCACACTTACAATACGTGCAGTTGACTACATGTTCATTATACCTTGATAAATTGTTACAGTTTGGAAGACATTAAGGAAAAATGTGATGGAGGATCCTAGAAAGGACTCCAGAAAGAAAAGGAACACCAGTGTTAAAACTGGTGAAATTCAAATAAAGGCTGTGGTTAAATTAACACCAGGCCAGTGTTAATGTCTTGGTTTGACCACTTCCCTGTGGTTTTGCAGCAGATGCTACTATTAGGGACGCTGGTAAGGGGATAGGAAATCAGTACCATCGTCCTAACTTTTCTGTGAGTCTAAATTAATTCAAAATAAAGGGTAAAAAATATGCAATAAAAATGTTAGACCTCTTTTACCTCACAGAAGAAGTACATTTTTCAAATATATTAGCTGTCATATTACCGACAGTTACCGTCACCATAAAGCCGGCAAATTTGGAGTGCTTGCCTTTTGTAAGACACACCTATGAGACAGCTTTAAATGAGGCAGTTTTTTAAGTACTTGGCCAGGAGGCACCAACAACCTTCTGCTACAGAAGCTGTGCATGCGGAGAAGGGACAGCCACCTACTGGAATGCAGCGAAAGGTTCTCTGGCCGCCCGGGAAGGCTTCCTCCCACCGTGTCCAGAGCTGGCGCGCCTGCCTCCGCTGGCCCGGCTAGGGCTCTCTGAGCACCGCGGTGCTGCAGGACTGGGTGCGCCTGCATCCCTGTCTCACTCCTGAATCGCTTCCACGTGGTCTTCTGGCAAGTCACCTGGCCTTCCTGGAGCTTCACCTTCCTTATTTGTAAAGTGGAGATAGAAATGGACCTGCTTTTGTGACAGGATGGAGAGGATTAAATGGGACATTGCGTGTTGTGTGCGATTCAGATGTAAAGTGGGATCAAAGGCTTAAACTATGAAATCTGTTTTAAGAAACATTGTAGATGTCTCCCTCCCTCTTTATGGAGAATTCACAAAACCCAGATTTGTGAAACTGAACAATTGGAAAAGGAGTTTCCTAAAAGGGTCCTCTCGCCCTGGCTGGCGTAGCTCAGTGGATTGAGCGCGGGCTGGGAACCAAAGTGTCCCAGGTTCGATTCCCAGTCAGGGTACATGCCTAGGTTGCAGGCCATGACCCCCAGCAACCTCACATTGATGTTTCTCTCTCTCTCTCTCGTTCTCCCTCTCTTCCCTCTCTAAAAAGAAATAAATAAAATCTTTAAAAAAAAATAAATAAAAGGGTCCTCTCAAATGACTTTAGGAAGGAACACCCTCATCACAGACATTTTAGGAAAGTGTCTACCGTGTGTATCTGTGCATTTGCACACGACTTTATTGCACTGAACTCAACTCTTCTCTCTGCTCATTTAATTCTAACAGCCCTCCAACAGTTGGGGGGAGCTAAATTGCCCTACCAAGTAGTCCCAAATACAGGGTCCAACAGAAGTAAAGCCTGTTGAATGTGGTTGGTAGGGTAATGAGTGTAATAATTTATTGTTTTATTTGAACATTTCACCTTAAATGTCATATGGTGTGCTTGAGTGTGATACTGTTATGTTGCAGAATGACATGCTTATGATTTTGTAATAAAAAGGGGCATTATTTGTGTCAGACCCCTGTATGTAGTAGCTCAACTACAGTAAATATTTTATTTCTTGCTCCCACAGCAAACCACGCCAGGCTACAGGTTTATGGGCCATCTCCAGTGACTCAGGGATCCAGGCTCCTTCCAGCTTGTGGCTCTGCCACGGCCTGTGGCCTGGCTGTCGTCTGCATCCAGCTGATAGATGGTGTCAGAGCCAGAACCTCACAGAGGTTTTTACCACCCTGTCCAGGTTCTTCTAGAGGACACACTTCAGCGCAAGGGAGGCTGGGAAATGTAGTCCAGCAGTGTCCGAGGAAAGGAGGAATGGATTTTAGTGGAGAGCTAGTAGTCTCCACTGTGAGGGAATAATCCGTGGGGGAATAGTCTTAACAGGTTAACTTGACAAAATCTGTTAGGTCACAGCCTGGTGATAAAGCCAGGGCTGCGTCCCACAGTGCCTGACAACCATGTCTGGGACCTTAAAAAGCACAGCCCCCACCTGGATCTGAGCCCCCAGCCTCACCAGGACTCTTCTCTGGTCTCCTGGCTCATAGCCTTCCCTGCTGCAGTGCGTTCTCCCCCTGGCAGACGGGAGAGCCTATGAACACCTACGCTGGATCACACTGTGACCAATGAGAGTCACCCACAACCTCACTGCCCTGACAAACCTGTCACCTCGGTCCTTGTTCATGGTGCTCAGGTTCGGAGGGAAACTGACCTGGTGCGCGGCAGCGCCTGCACTCAGCCAGGTCTGACTCCACACTGTGGTCCCCAGAGCAAGAGGCGACAAAGGCTGCTTTCCAGGTCACACTTTTATTTTTACAGAAGCAGCGGCCACACAGCCGCAGGGATGTGAGATATTCTGGACAGTAGGCATAGAGTCTGCAAAGGGAGACTCCGGCCTTTCTCCTTGGACCCAGGATCAAGGAGGTAAAAAAAATCACACAACACCCCCACCCCCGCTTCCCTTTTAGTAATACCCAGTTATGCATCCTTCCAGCCAAAGAAACTGGCTATAATTGACTACAGAAAACCTTCGTGCAGCCAAGAAACTCACGGCTCTGGAGGGAGAGGACTATTCTTTCACTTTCCACGCACTGCCTGCCCCCATCCCCACTCCCCACCTGGGGGGAGGTCACCTCCATCTGAAACCACCACGGAGTTGGACAGGGAAGGGACTGGCTGCAAGGAAGAGCTGGCAGCTCACCGTGCTGGGAAGACTGAAGACTGCCCTTTCCAGGCAAGAGATTACTGGAGCAAAACAGCAAGCTGGGGCTGGTACGATGCCAACAACTCCCCTTCCACGCCCCAGGTTCCAGGTGAGGTCTGCGGACAGGATTTTGGCTTGCTGGACTAAGGACAGCAGAGGCTGCTGGCATCTCTGGCCACCTCCCAGTGGCTTGGGGATGCAGGCCCCACTGGTGGGATGATGGAGCCTTATCTGCTGGGTTAACCATTCCTCTACACTGCAGCAAGCAGGATCATCGGTTTCGCCCCGAGCGGGAAGCACAGGGGCCCACTCTGAGAACTAGTGCCGGGATCCATGTGCTCTGCATACAAGCCAGGGAGTGAGGTTTCTCGTATTTTCCCCAGGCCTCCTTCAGAGGCCAAATGGGTAAGAGGGTTCCTTTGCCTTCTGAGTGCCATCAATGCACCCAGCGCTCACAGGACCAAGCTGAGCTACTTTGCAGCGTGCCAAGCCCTGGGCGGGGTGGGTGAACATCTGTCCCCGAAGCGTGATGGTGAGGGTTCTGGCAGCCTGCAGTGACAACACTGCCACTTCCTGCAAGCCCTTCTGAAAAAGAGATGAGCACACCACCCCCAAGTATACACTTGATCATTTATTTTTCCTCTGGTTTCCACACAAATGAGGCTCTGCACGGGTTTTGCAACCACGAGGTCTAAGACAGCCATGCACTTTGACAGCAGAATGGCCCCAGGGAGGTCTTGTCTGTACTGACGTGAGACGAGGAAGAACTGCACTTCAGAGGAACAGACGACGTGCCCACAGGTGCACAGCTCATGGACAATGAGTCAGGGGCTGACACCCAGGTCTCCTGACTCCTCGTACAGTGCTCCCTCCCTCTCTCGGAAGGTCACTGCCTGGCACAGCTCACTTAACTCAAGCTTCCCTTATGGGACGCAATTCTGCAGATTCCAGGTCTTTCGCTGAGGCTGGGCAGTTCTTAGGATGGAGTTGCATAAACAACCAAGCTTTAATAAGAGGGAAAGGACCTAGGGAGGGTCCCTTCCCTCTGGAACGGAAATGGAGCTAACTTTTCTCTGAGCTTAGGATTTGTAAGGCACTGAAATTAACTACAGCTGGGGGTGGGGAGAGAAAGAAAAAGAGGGATGAGTGGTTGGAGAAGTCACGCTGACGGTCTCTTCTTTCAGCCGCCTGGTGACGGAACCTAACAACGGCAGGCTCCATTGTCCTGCAGGTGTGGTCCACCCCACCCCTGACGCTGTGAAGCAGCATGGACGCACCCCACCAGAACCACGTGGGTTCTTGGGGCAAGAGGCATGGAGGGTTAGGAAGCCAAGGATGAGCCCAGATCCTCTGGATCCGATTCGGAGCAGAAACCACTCATTCCACCTGGGCAGGTGTCCCAGGCCCAAGCTGGGGACAGAATTCAACCCTGAAATGTCTTCCCCGGGGACATGGTCCTCTAGGAGTAGACTCAGTGATGGCTGCAAGGGCAGGGGGTGGTGCATGCAAGCCTGAGCGTGAAGGAGGAAGGGACAGGACAGCATCACCAAGGATGGCAGAGAAAACTTTGGGATCGGACCTGGCTTTGGCACAGCACGTCTTAGGCCTGCCCGCCCATCTTTTGCCCTCCTGAGACCCCAGGGATGGAGAGGACCCTCCCACCCCTCCGTGAGGAGCAATTCTGGCTGATGGAAGCAGTGGCAGTGCGACTCCAGGACATGCTTTCATCACGCCAGCCACGCCTGTGCCCGGGTGACCTAATATGGAGGCTTCAGGATTCAACCACTGAAAGCAGAGCACTTTGGTCAGATGTGATGCTCAGTGGGAAGCAATAATAGCTACCACAGCCTGTAGGCAGACATTGCTGCCCCTGTCACCAGAGGAAGAGCCGGCTTCAGAGGGGCCGAGTGGCTCACCCAGAGCCACACAGCTGACGAGTGGCTGAACTGGGAACTGGACTCAGGTTCATCTGACTACAAGTCCCATGTCCTTCCCTCTCCACCGGGAGGGTGGCCCCTGGAAGCTGGGAGCAGTCCGCTGAGGCTGTCTGCGTGGGATTTCTGGAGGGGCTTGTTTCTGAAAGTGTGGTCTGGGAGAGCAGCCAAGCTTGAGTGAAGAGAAGATGCCTCCTGGCCAGTGGGGGACCGAGGTCACCCACACGTCAGTCTCTTTGCAGGCGGACGCAGGCTCAGTGCCTGGCGGCCTTGCAGATCTTGTCATACACCTCGGGGAAGGCGTCCTGGCAGCCGAGCTGCTCCCGCAGCTTGTGGTACAGGGAGCCGTCAAACATCTCCCAGAACTCCTCGCGGTTCATGTAGCAGTCGGCGTACAGCATCTGGAACCTGCAGAGCAGAGATGGGGGTGAGGACAGGGGCAGCGATGTTGGTGGGACAGGGAGGGGGAGGGGATGAGACAGAACCCCAACCGCCCTTATGTGCAGCGTGCTTTGCAGTGAAGGGGGCGCGTTTGGAGGGTTTCTCTGTTCAGTCCCCTAACGACCTAGTCGTGGAGAGTGGTGTGGGGATTCTCACCCCCCACTGGGCAGGTGGTAAACTGAGGCTCAGGGTAGGAAGTAGCTTGGCTGTGGAGGCCAAGTCAGGGGCAGACTCAGACTGCCGGCTCCTCCCCTGTGCCTGGTGCGCCCAAAACCACCTCCCTGAAGGGGCCACAGACTGCTCTCCTTGTATCTTTTTCTGATGTTGACGAACCATGCAGATTAAACGTGGACGACTTGCTAAGTCTGACACATGTATACAACTTAGAAACTGTCACCTCGCCATTGAGATAACGACAAAAACGACCTCCCCAACGTTCCTTATGCCCTCAGGTTACCGTCCCTTTCCATCCCAGGCCGGTCTGTTTCCTGTCACGGATTCAGGGATTTCATGCATGGGAACATCACTACTCCTTTTTCCTGGCTTCTGCCAGTCAGCAGGTGTTCTGAGAGCCACCTGTGTGTGTAGCCCAGTGGCTTGTTCCAGGCCATCTTGTGAGCACTGCTCTGCCCCAGGCCTCCCCGTAGCCGTCACGGTCATGGATCCCTCCCCACCTTAGTCTTGGTCTTCCCATCTGGAGTGGCAGGCCCTGCACTTATGGCACGCCACCCCATCATCCGCCCTGGGGCAGGCAGCTGCGGGGATGCAGGTGTGCTGGCTGGAGGAGGGGGTGCAGAGAGGAGAGGGGGGGAAGCCTGGCACTCCCACCTCCTTACCTTTCACAAGGCACTTCCTGAAGCAGAGGCTGCTCCAGGGACAGAGTCCCGAAGTGACCAGCTGGTCTGGCTCTAGAGCTGGCCACTGTGGCCCTGCCCTGCACCCCTCTGCAGCAGTCCCCTGGGGCTGGCGGCCGAAGGGACTGTGCCACGCTCTGGGCCACTCACCCGTGCACGCTCCGGACAAACTTCTCCAGCTGCCTCATACAGGACCTGGCTTCAAAGTGCTTCACGCGCGGCTCCCCATAAGCACCAATATCCACGTAGAGCTCAGTCTCGTCTCCCTTGGGGTGCACCAGGCCCGGCTGGCTGGGCAGGATGAACGGGCACAGCCAGATGGGGTAGACCTGCGTGAACCCGGGAGGAGGGTGTTGGTGCTTTTTCTCCAGCAGGCTGCAGGCCCCCAGGTGGCCCACCACACATCTACTCAAAGGAAGGCTTTTCAGCTCTCTCCAGGGGCCCCTCCCCTGGCTGCTCACAGCTTCGCCCTCACCCCCAAGCCCCAGTAGGGAGCACCCAACTCTGCCACCGAGAGGGCACAGTCTGAGCAGCTCATGGCAGTGCTCTTCACTGGGCCCTACAACTTGTCTCTCATCAGGGCTGTGGCTGAGCAGGTCTATTTTGGCTGTGGGTGAAACTGAGGCCTGGGGTCAGGCAGGCCCTCGGTCAGCCCCACAGTTCGGGGGGAAGGCCGTGGGTCCCGTGGGACGGCTCACTCACATGGATGTCGTTGTGGAAGGTGTGAAGCGCCCGCTCCAGGCACTTCATGGGCACCAGCATGTCCTGCACCACGTGGTGCTGCTCGTACAGCTTGCGCAGGGTCTCGCCCTGAGTCAGCTTCAGGAGGGAGATCTTGGGGGGCACCATCCAGCCGAAGAGGTAGCGGAAGATGGGGTTGTTGCCGAAGGGGATGATGTCCTGAAAGACAAAATTAGAAGATGGGGAGGAGGATCCAGTAAGGGCTGGGTGTCTCTGTGCCAGGCACCAGGTCCTGGTTCAGTGCTCAGCTTGTATGACAGGGTCCACTCTCCCATTTGGAGGGGCGTGGTGGTGCCCGGGATTTACCCAGTTGGATTAGGGTTTGTTCTCAGCTCTGGAATTGACCAGCTCTGACGTCCTTGGGCTGGTTACTTAACCTCTCTGAACTCAAGTTTCCTTATCTGTAAAATGGGGCTTCTGAGAATAGTGACACACCTACCAAATGCAAGGCTTTCAGCCCAGTGCCTGGAGCAAAACAAGTAGCTGTGGCTGCTGCTTTAGTTGCTGTTCACCTTTCAAAGTCAAGCTTAATGGCCACCTTCATCCCTGGACAAGACCAGCCATTTCCTCTTCGTGCTCCTGTGGCCCTCACAGGAGCAGCCCCCTTGCCTACCCCAGCTGTCTCCCTGGAAACCCTCCTGAGCAGGGGCTGCCCCTCCTCACCCAGCACTGCTGCCTTCCAGAGACACGCTCTGCTCCCCACCAGCTGGCAGTCCTGCCCACCAGTGAACAGCAAAGATCTGTGCCCAGTCTGCTGCCTTCCTGAGGGGCACCAGTGTCTTCCTGGTACCCTCTTCTCACAGCTCCTGGGCCCTCGAAGCCAAGGACATTCTTTCGTTCATTAGACAATTACGAGATGCCCATGAGGTCAGGTACCAGGCTCTGTGCTGGGCACTGGAGAGCCCAAGATGACTGAGACATGGTTACTGCCCTCAGGTGTGCAAGAGACAGGCTGTGGGATACAGTATGGAAAGGGCTGGGACAAAGTGATGCAGAGGCAGCTTATGAAAGGGTCCCCATCAGACTACAGATCAGGGGCGGCTTCCCAAAGAGGCCGCCAGCCATGCTGAGCCTTGTAGGCTGAGCAACTCCTTCCTTCCACCCTCCTGGAATCACGCTCTGACTGCCAGACCACTCCCGCCAGCGAGGGACCTGCCTGCTCCCTTCTCTGTTAGATTCCGCCACCTACGCCAATGCCTGGCACACAACAAGGGTGTGAGACATAGCAACACAATGCTTCCTTGGTTGTCTTAGGAAAAGCCACACATGCCCACAGCCAAAATCCAACAGTTCAAAATGTTAAGCCTCCTTTCATGCCCCTGAGCCCTCTTTCCTATCCCCAAAGGCAACCATCGTTAGGAATTGTTGTGTACCTTCTAGAGACATTCGATGCACACGAGCAGGTGGGCTTTACAAAAACACAGCTCTCAGATGGAGGCATCTAACAGCCTCCTGCTCATCACCGTGTCCTGAGCACCGGCGCCCAGTGTGCTACCCCATTCTTTGTCGTGGAGCCTCCCGCTGCACTGCAGAGACCCACAGACCGCGGCTCCCGGGACAGAGCAGGCCCACCCTCTGGTTCTGTAAGTAAAGTTTTACTGGAACACATCCATGCCACTTATCCCCAGACTATCTATGGCTCCTTTCAGGCTGTGGGGGCAGAGTTGCTCCTGGAGAAACCTCAGGGTCCATGAAGCCCACACCACCGCCTGGTCCTTTACGGAGACTGTTTGCTGACCTCTGCTCTACTGGATGGAGTAGCCTGATGTGTTTAATCAGCTTGGTGCTGATGGGCGTCTACATTGTTTCCTGACAAGTCCAGTGAATGCCCTTTGTGCATGCATCCTTGCCCACTTACACGTATGTTTACCTGCAAGGCAAATTCCTGGAAGTGGAAAATTCTGCTTCAGACAGTGAATGCAATTTTAATGGACACGATTTTAAGAGCCAGTCCCATGGTATATGCTCCCAGACGACGGAGGAGGCTGCCGTTTCCCTGCACCCCGGCCTCGCGCGTTATCGAACTTGCGCATCTCTCATTCAGACAGGTGGAACACGAGACTCCTGTAGTCTTGTTTCGCCCGCCTTAACTCCAAGTGAGACTGGATCACGTTTCTTACGTTTAAAAGCCAAAAGCCGTCTGCATGCCCCGCTCATCACAGCCTCTTCCCTCCTTGGCCTCGTGCTCTCCAGTTGCCCTTGGCTTCTGTCTGGGCCCAGGTGCTACTGGTCTCCGCCGCTCTCCTGGGCCACAGGGTCCCACTGCTGGCCCAGGATCCCAAACCCCAGACACAGGCCCTGTGACAATGGCTTTCTAAGAAACGTGAACAACCAAGGACCTAGCTACCTTTCCTCACTTCCCTGTATCGGCCAGCCATCGACACTGCGGAGAATGAGGCCATCGGAGGGAAGGGAGAGACAGGCCTGCTCGGAGTCCCTTTTCCTTCCAGCCCTGCCTGCTCACGAGTTCCTGAGATGCAGTGCTGGTAGAGCGTGAATGTTGTCAGCAAGGGAAATAGAAACAGCTGAGCTAGTTTTGTGCCGTGTTTCCACTGGTCTTTTAAGAATGAAACGCATATGCAAGAAGAGTTAAACGCTCTTACACTGTATTTAAAAGATGAACAGTAAAACTTATGCTAAGAAGTTAAATGTTTGATTTTTCTTTACTTAACATGAAATAGCAAATATTTATGACAAGAAAGAAACCATGCGAGAAAGGAAAAAACTTTGTAATTTAATACTTTTCATGGCAACTTTTTCCACTGAGCCCTGAAAATTATGTAGCTGGCCCTGACCCCAAATATGGCTGATCGACCAAGCTGGGTGAGAGGAAGGGGCGGGACCAGCCGGCTCGGCCCAGGTGTGACAGGAATGCGGCGACCGTGCCCACACTGATACGCGCAACCTCACCTCGCCCTGAAGCCCTGACGTGGATCGGCTGCCCACTCCACGTCCTGTCTGGATGTCTGAAAGGATCTCAGACTGACATGCCCCAGACCAAACTTCCCGTTTCCCTTCCCAGACCTTTCCCCCAGGGCACCCGCAGCGGACAATGGTACCTCCCATCTCCCGGCTGCTCGGGCCCCTAAGTGTGGACTCACACCCACAGCCAGTCTGTTTGGACGAGTGGATGGTGTGGCCCTCCCAGAGCCCCCCAATCTGACATTGCTTCCTCCTCCACTGCTACCACCCTGGACAACAGAAATCTTCTTTCTTCTTCTCCTCCACTCCTGCTGCCCCCCCCTCCTCCCTAGCCACTCTCCACCTAGCTGTCCAAGTTATTCGTTTAAAACAAAAATCGGATCATATCACTTTTCTATGCAAAGTCCTCCACCGGTTTCCCATTGTACCTGGAGTACAGTATGAAGTCCCTCCTTGACCTGTGAGGGCACATTTGATCCAGGCTCTGGCTGCTGTGTGACCTCATCTTCCACCACGGTTCTAGCTCAGGGCCTCTTTGCTATTTTTCAAAAATGTGACCTGCTATGACACTGGATAACTATATACCTTCTACCATATAACAAACTTAACTCAAAATAAATCAACAACCTAAGTACAAGAGCTAAAACCATAAGCTTTTAGAAGAAAACACAGGGATAAATTGTCATGATCTTGGACATAGCAATGGATTCTTAGCTATGACACTGAAAGCACAAAGAACAACAATAAAAAGAGATAAACTGGACTTCATCACAACTAAAAACTCTGGTGCATCAAAAGATATTGTCGAGAAAGTGAAAAGACAACCTATAGGTTGAGAGAAAATATTTGTAAGTCACATATCTGGTAAGGGTCTAGTATTCAGAACATATGAATTCTTACAACTCAACAGCAAAGACAACGCAACTAAAGATGGGCAAATGAGCTGAATAGACACTTCTCCCAAAAAATGTAGAAACAGCCAACAAGAATGTGAAACATTAGTCAATAGGAAAATGCAAATCAAAATCACAGTGAGATTCTACTGAGAATGCAGGGACTGAACACTGCAGCTGGGAGGGCGAAATGGCTCAGCCGCTGTGGAAAAAGCCCAGCAGCTCCTCAGTAACTTAGACACAAAGCTACCTCGTGACTCAGCAGTTCCACTCACAGGCATACCCTAAAGAGGTGGAAGCTGGTGCCCAAACAAATTCCTGTATACGAATGTTCAAGGCAGCCTCACTCACAATGCCAGCAGGTGGAAACAGTCCCCACATCCAACCACAGATGGCCGGACAAACACGCTGTGGTCTCTACACCAGCAACGAAAAGGAGACAGTGCTGACACACACTGCGACAGGGTGAGCCTGGAAAACATTGTGCTAAGTGAAAGGAGCCAGTCACAAAAGGCTGTAATATTGTCTGACTCGGTTTGTATGAGAGAATCTAAAACAGGGAAATCCAGAGGCAGAACAGATGGATGGCGGCAGAGGCCAGGGAACGGGAGAATGGGAAATGACTGCTTAATGGGTACAGGATTTCTCGTTGGGGCGAAGGAATGTTTGGGCACTGGACAGAGGCGGTAGTTGCACAATATCGTGAATGCACTGAATGCCACTGGATCGCACACCTTCTCTGCACGGAGCGCACTCTCCCAGAGCTCTGCATGGCGTGTCCTCCCTGCGTTCAGGTCCCTGTTCATAAGCCATTTTCAGAGAGGCCTTCCCTGACACCCTCATTTGAAATGTCACTGCTGCCCATCCTTCCACACACAACAGCAAATGCTTGCTCACCGGTCAAGTCCAAGCTTGCTGGCTGCCTCCAACCCTAGAGAGAAGTAGACTGGCCACTCCCCCTTCCTCTGGCCCTTTACAGGGCAAAGGCTGTCTGCTTGGCTAGGCTACAGCTCCTCAGTGACGGGACAGGTCAGTGTTCCCCAAGTGCATGCCTGGTGCCCCATTCTTTGGTGTCGGGTGACAGCCTGCCGTTTTAAGTGAAGATGGTGTGATCCCTTGGAAAGAAGCGACTTGTTGCTGTGTAAGAGGGTGTTCCAGTTTCCTAGGACAAAGCCACACTCTTCCCCTAATACAGAGCGTGTGGCCACAGCGTTAGCTCCCCTGGTTCCCTGCCCAGCAGGCCGGGAGGAGCCAGGCCGACGGGGAAACCCGAGCCTCACCTGGAGCTCCCAGAAGATGCTGCGCGTGTGCCGGTGGTAGTAGTGTCTCAAGGGGATGTACTCCAGGCCCTCTCTGTTTGTCTTCAGGTAGTTCTCCACGTGCTTGAAGAACCACGGCTTGTAGTAACTGCCAATGCTATTCAGCTGAAATGACAGAAGGCATTGTGTCAGCCCGCAGACAAGCACCAAATGCCATCAGGGTGTAACAGTGATACCTGGCTTCTGTTCAGCGCTCCTGGCCCTTTCAAAGCTCTTTCATGTCTCTTGTCACTTCCGAGACTCTCGAAAGCCTGGCAAGGTTAGGCACCGCGGATATTCTCTAGCAGAGCGAGAGCTCAGTGAGGTTAAGGGGTGCGCCTAGGGCCCAACCACTAGTTTCTGACTGTCTAGAGGGCTGAGCGACCCTGACCTAGTCTGCTGCTCTGTCTCATTGAGAGAATCGAAGTGCAAATGTCTCCCTCCCTGCCACTAGGCTGGTGTTGGCATAACCACTGAGCATGGGTCCTCTCCTCCTCGCCAGGTCCCATGGCCAACGGTACTTATCACCCATGGCCCTTTTCCTGCCACTTGAGACCAGTCCCACAGCCTTGAGCATGGCACTCACCCCTGCAGCCACCGCCAGTGGAGGAAGCTTGCAGAGTAACCCATGCACTCCTCTAGCACCGGGCCCTGTGGCCCCTAAGGCCTAAATTTTGTTTAGCTGATGTTTTCTTCAGCTCTAGGGTGACTTAGCTTCTTTGGACCCCGGCCTCCTACCCATGAGATGAATTCTGGGCAGGTGCTTTCGGAGAGAGGTGGGGCAGCAGCCCCGAAGGAATGTGGGCTTCAGTGTCAGGCAGCTGGTGCCAAAGCCTGGCCCAGTCTCCCACTAGCTCTGTGACCTTGGGCAAGTCACCCTCTCAGCTTGTTTCTTCCCATGTAAAATGATATTAAAAATATATGCTCTGTGGAAGTTTAATTGGGGCCTATGGAGATGATACAATATGCACACATACGCAGATGCTCAGGCCCCGTGCAGACCAGCTTTCCTGGGGGGCAGGAGAGGCACAGAGTTTTATGGGCAGGTGAGATCCCATGCAGCTGGGTGGGCTCAGCAAAGGGTTAGGGAGTAGAGAGTGGAGGCCACTTAGGAGAGGGAAGACGTGGCCAGGGGGCCATCGGGGAGGGAAAGGCAGGAGAGGAGGCAAGAAGTGAGCAGCCCAGAGCAGCTGGTGGAGAATGATCACAGTGCTGCTGAGTGCCACGATCTAGGCAGCCTCACAGGCACCTAGCAAGTCCATCCCTTTTCCCTACCGCTATGACCTTACACGGAGTGGGGTGGGGCGGGGGAAGGGGGCTGTCCCTGTTTCATGGGTCAGACTGAGAATCATCAAGGTTGGACAGATTGTCCGAGGCCACAAGGCTGGCGAGAAGCAGGGCAAGGATGCACCCCATGTTGTGCCACAAGGCCGGGGCTGGAGGGCAGAGAACCTTGAAGGGTGGGCTTGGAAATGGGGGTGTTGTCATAACAAAACACAAAAGCTTTCACTTCCCTCCTGGTTCTAAAAGCCACGGATGCTCTACGACAGCTTTAAACACTGCAAAAATGCGTAACTTGGAGAGAGACGCCTCTGCAGCCTCACCCTCAGCCCTGTAGCCCTGCAGCCTTCCGAAACTAATGTGTGTCCATTAGGGATTTTTCCTGATGGAAAATTTCCTGTGAGCACATACTCACAGATTTATAAAAACGGCACAATCGGGTGCATACTCTCACTTATAACATAACACACTAGGGGGGCCCTGGGTCGGTCAGCCTCTCCTCTCGAGCCTCATTTTCTGTGCAGGCAAACTGGAGACACTGCTGCCTCCTGGGCTGGTGGGAAGACAAAAGGGTAGTGTAGAAAGTGCCGTGCCAGTTGCCTGCCCACAGCGGCGGCACAGTATCCAGTTCCCGGTCCCTGTTGGCCTCCTACCCCTGCCCCCACCTCATCCCCTCACCAACCCTGTTCACCCTGGAGCCAGCCAGCCCTGTGGGTGGTTGCTTATCTGGATGTCACCCTCTTGTGCAGGCCACTGTGCTGGTAGGCCCTCTGCAGGGAGGAAGCGTGGGGCCACGGTGTACCAGGGAACTCGGGTTACAGAACCTGTTTGTCCAAGTCAGTTTCTGAGAGGACAGTGTGGGGCGGGACGAAAGACACCGCATGCTGGCTTCTGCTGCTGAGGTATAGGAGACCAAGCCCCGCAGGTGCACGGCAACCTGATCTAACTCCCGGTGAGGCCTGGCCACACACCTGCCAGTGGCACCAACTGCAGAATAAAATCGAGACTTGGGGGTATCTGGAGGCAGGTGCTCCTGATGCTCGTGGACTGACTCTTCAGGAACCTTTGTGCCTGAGAAGTCCAGGGTGTGGTCAAGAACCCAGACTGTTCCCCTCTCCCAGGGCACACAGCCAGGGCCGCCAGGAGGCTGCCTGAGCTCCGGTTCCAGCCCTGGCACTTAGGTAGCAAGCTTCCTCCTACCTCTGAGCCTCCCTGAGAGTGGAGATGGGCTGCCTTGTCCCAGGGCTGCAGTGAGACGCCCAGGGTCTGCAGAGGGCCAATAGCAGTGGCACACGGAGATAAATTCCTGAGCAGCTTCCTTGAAGGAAATGTCCACACATCTGAGGGCATCTCTCGCTCTCCCCCACCAGCCCTGTTCCCAGTGGGCGTCAGGGTCTTGCTTATCAGGACCCTGTGCTGATGGCCAGGGCCGGGGCCCCACCCCTCTGCCAGCGACACCAGACAAGCCTCTGGGGAAGGTCTTGGTCTTCTCCTCGGGGAAAAGGGTCAGGGTGTTCTGTTATTTTAAAAGCTGTACAAACCCCTCTGTCCAACTGTAAGTATAGGGAGTACCTAACACATCGAACAGGTGACAGAGAAGCTGGTCCAGTGGGGGCGGCGGTTCCCCTGGGCCCCTTCCTCAGCTTATTGCCCCTGGCAGCCTTGACGGGGATGCATCAGACATGCTGGAGAGGCTCTGAACGAGACGTCCTTGCTGGGCGGCTAGGGAACATGGGAGGACTGGGCTCAGCCCAGGTCAGTGGAGCCAGGGCCGAGGGAGCGCGGGCACTTGGGCTCAGTGTCAGGTGCTCCCACCCCTGGTCCGGGGGCCCATCCTCCAGTGCTCGCCAGAGTCCCACAGGGGATGGTGCTCAGTCAGTATCTGTGGACGGTGCTACGTTCTAGAAGCTGATATGGAGGAGAAGAGACAGTGAAGTCCGAGTCAGAGACCCAGACGGGTGTCCGCCCTGTGCTAGCCACGGGGCGCCCAGGAGGCTCCTCCCCCTGGGCCTCGGTTGGCTCCCTGTTTGAGGAGGGAGTTGTATCAGATGATCTCCAAGTCCCTGCTAATTGTAAAATGTTTTAAGTGTGCAGGTATCGATGAAGCACCTTAATTAAGAGTGCCTATCCTTCGATCTGTTGTGCTAACTCTACTCTAAGATGGTGTTTAAATTACAAACAAAAGATGGTCATTGCTACATTAATTTAAATATGAAAAACTGGAAGCAACCTAAGTTTGCAGCTCTGGGGCAGGGGTTTGGCAAACAACAGGGCATTCATTAAAGGCAATGTTTTGTAGGCATTAAGTATGACATTGCTGAAGACACTATAAAAACCTGGGGAAATGCTTATCACACTAGACAAGAAAAAACAAATTTGAATAGGTGATCACAGCCAAAGACAAACAACCCAAAAAACCGTGCAAAGAGATGGTCAACCTCCTAAGTGACCTGAGGACTGCAAAACAGAGCAAGATACTATTTTTAACCCTATCAGATTGGCAAAATGAAAGACCGAAACTACTCAGCGCTGGCAACAACACAGGGGAAAAGCAGCGTCACACTCCGCTGCTGGAAGCGGACCGAGCACTGCTTGCCCGCAGAGCTGTCCGGTCTTGGCGGTCTGCACGGAGTGTGCTCAGGCCCTGGGGTCAGAAAGCCCGCCTTTTGGACTCGATTCTACAGAAATGCTCCCACAAGAGGCAAAGGACACATGCAAGGGGATCTTCACTGCAACTGTGTCTTTAAGAGCAAAACATTTTAAGCAATATAAATACTCATCAGTAAGCAGTCCGTGAGGCCAAGTATTTCCATGCAATAATGGGACTCTGTGGAATGAAATAAGGGTGTGTGTACACACACACACACACACAGAACTAGGCCTTAAAGATCCCACACACCTGAACTATTACAAGTGTTTGTATGCCTGGGGGTAAAGAGGCACATTTTAACTTTTTCTTTATCTTTTCAACATTGTTATACTACTATTTTTGTAGTTTAAAAACTTAAAAAAAGATCTATGCACCAAAAAGGAGAGGAAATAACTATATGAAACACGTTAGCAACAGCTGGCTTTGGGTCACATTTGTAGATAGTCTTTTCCTTCCTATTACTTGTTTATACTTCCAAGTCTCTCGTATTAAACTCATGAAAACTGCTATTAAAAATTATATAGTAAATTGAAGAAGTGTCCATCTGGACTGTGCGGCATCAAATCAATCACTCAAATTTTGGCTTTGTCATCTGGCGGCACTTTGTACGACCTCTTGGATCTCGGTCTCCTTATCTATAAACTGGAACTGCTGTGAGGATCAGAGATCACACCTGTCAACTGACACACGCACACCTAGCAGGTGGTGGAGCAGCGGGAATGGAAGCGTTTGTCACAGCCTAAAACAGCTCTGACTGTAGATCCTGTTGGCCACACCCCAGGTGAGCTGACCCAGGCTGCAGCCTTGGAAGAGGGTGGCTGTCTGGGCCAGAGTGGGGCGACAGGCTCCACCCCAGCCCCCGCAAGGCCTTCCTCCCCCGCCCCAAACCCCCCCGCCCCCGGTCTCAGTCTGCAGCAGCTGCTGCCTGGCCTACCTTGCTGGGCTCCACCTGGTCCGTCATGACCCCCGTCATGATGACGGCCTCGTCCAGGGAGTACAGCAGCCCTTCCACAAAGTGGTTCTCCTGCTGCTGGGACTCGTGCTTGAACTTCTCACAGATCGCCTCCAGGCCCCGCACTGGCTCAAACCGCAGCTTCACGTACTTCTTGGCGGGGACGATGCGGATCTCAGCAGCCACCAGGAATCCCAGGGTCCCACACGACCAGGGCACGGCGTAGAACAGGTCTGAGTTCTCGGACTGTAGGCAGATCAACACACGCTGAGAACTCACACCCTGGGCCCCGCATCGCCACACGCTGCCAGCAGGGGCACAAAGAGCCCGGGGCCTGAGCTAAATTCCTGTTCTGTCCCGTCTTGTGTAAACCCCACAAGGCACTTCACACACTGCTCCCAGGCCTCAGCCTTCCCGCTGCAGCTTCCGCATGACACGGGACCTTACATGTGCACTCCGGAGACTGCCTCCTCCCCCTCCACCCAGGCACAGCCCCCGACCACAGGCTGCCCAGGAAGAGGCTATGACCGGCACTGCCCAAAGACCCAAAGCGGAGGGCTAAGGGCCAGCCCAGGCCAGGCTAAACAAGGAGCTGAATCCTTACAGAGGGTGATGGTCCCCAGGAGACATTAAAACACCTCCCTTCTGGGCCATTACCCACATTTACAAAGCCTTTCCTGTCCATTAGCTGTGGAATAATCACTGGGGAAAGACCCAGGTCAGGGGATCCCCTCCCACCCTGAGCTGCTTCCTTGGTTCTTGTCTTGCTTGCAAGAGACAAATTCAAGTGAGGGACAAAAATGTACAGTGGAAATGAGATGGCAAGGTTGTTTAAGAAATGCATATAAGCACAAAGCTGCAAGCAGGCACCAGGCTAGTCTGAATGCCCCACGTACAGAGGAAATAAAATTGTTAGTTAGTTTGTTCTATACACTTGAGTCCAGGCTACAAGTGGACACTCAGCTGACCTGAGTGTGCCGACCAATGCGGTTCAGGGGTTACATACCTTAGTCAGCTTCGAGGTTCTCCTCCTACTCCACTTTTAAAGCTTGGGGGTAAGGTACAGCTACAAAGGCTTTCTTTCTCAGTTGGTAAAGGCTCTTTGTCCTAGTGAAATTGCTACAGAGACTCCTTTTCCCAGCACAGAGCCTCAAGGACTCCCCTCCTCCTGGGCTATCCCTGCTTGTGATGTTCAGAACGCCTGGCAACCTTATCCGACCCGGCTCAGGACTGCTGAGTAGTGGGTGAGGCATGTCTCTCTCCTCCTCTCTGCCTTGGTTTACTCTCTCTCCTACCTAACAGAACCCGCCCCACAGCCTAGGGAGAGCATTAACACTTCTAGTTGGACAGGGGAGGAAAGCCAAGTGCCCGGAGGTGCACAGCTCACCCAAGTTTCCCCGCTGGGAGCGCCGAGATGCTGAGGCTCAGGCCAGATCCCCTGACTCCCGATCCAGGATTCTGCTTGCAAAGCCTCATCCGCTTCCCCAAATCCTCTTCCAAAATCACCATTTACTTATTTCCGTAACTGTCTCAGAGACAGACAACCGACTTTTCATCTGGCCATTCTAACTCTGATTCTTTGATTCCAATAAAGCACCTTTTGAAAAAGTCCAGCCTTGTCTGAGCTTTATCCAGAGGACAGCGGTGTGGTCTCTGCTGCCCGCGGCGTTGCAGGGCAGGGGCTGGAGGAGGGAAGCCCTGCAGCGTGCCGGCGGGAGCCTCTGGAACAGCCTAGGTGGGCAATGGATTCCCGCAGCGAGCCCGTTGATCCCACCGCCAGATCACAGGGGGAGCACCCAGGCATCTGCCACGGGCCCAGCTCTGAGCTAGGAGCTGCCCATATGGCATCTACTTGTTCTTCCCGACAATGCATCTGTCACATAGGGCACGGGGCCGCAGAGAAGGTAAGTGATTCATGAATGTTTGTCTCCCTTCTTTGCTGGCAATAAATGTTAGAAGGCAGGCCCTGCCTGTTGGGGAAACGGGTGAAACCGATGTGAAAGGGGTCACGCTTGTTCAAGACCTGAGCTCCCAAGCTAGGGGCTCTGCCCGGGACTCTTCTGAGAGGCCAGCGACTCCAGTGGCTCTCAAACACCTGCTTCTAAAGGCTCACACTGTCACCCCCTTCCCAGGGACCCCGAGGACACGCCCGGGGAGACCTGAGTTTCTCTAAGGTTTCAAAACACCTCAAATGTCTGTGTCTTGCTTTGGGCAATAGAATTGGTTTTTTATTTCTCTGAAACAGCCTCTCTTACCACTTTCAGTTGCCCCGCACACCATCTGGCGTAGAGCTTTGTCACCAAGGCCTGACTCCCCCTACACAGGCAGTGTAGTGTAATGGGTGGCTAAGGACGTGGATCTGGGAGCCCGGTAACCTGGACTTGAATGCCAGCTGTGTGGCACTAAGAGGCTCCGTGACCTAGGGTAAGCTTGTTAACCTCTCTACGCTTTCGTTTCCCATCTGTAAAACGTGGCTAATTGTACGAACCTCATAAAGTTGTTGAAGGATTAAAAGCCTTAATATATGTAAAGCATTTAAACAGTGACTGAGCACATAAAGGGGCCTTATAAATCTTTATTGTTGTTATGAATTGAGACCCAGACTGAACAGGTGTGTTTGCAGTGAAGCAACCCCAAGGTGCCACTTCCTCAGTGACAGGGTCCTTGACCCCCAAGGCAGGCAGGTGGGGACATCCATCCCCACTCTCTGAACTCACCGGTGTGCACCGCACAAAGCTGCCATCGGCCAGCACCAGCTCGTAGGCGGTGCAGATGTGCTGGAACAGGCCATACTTGTGGGACGACGACTCGATGCCTGTGCCCATGATCAAGCCCCCTGCAGAGACACACATGTTAGTGAGGAAGAGCTCCAGTGTGTGTGTGTGTGTGTGTGTGTGTGTGTGTGTGGTGGGGTGGTGGGGGGAGGGGAATTGGGTAAAGGGCACTTCACTGGAGCTGGGGAGCTCATAGCACGAGGGTGGTGTGACAGGGCTGGCAGAAATGGGCTGTCCACCTTGGGGACAGTTCCCATCTCTGTGGATCTGGAGAGCAGGAAGGGCTCAGATGGGAGCGTGAGGGCTTGCTCGGAGGAAGGGGACGGATATTAGACCCCGTGCAGGGCTCTCCCACCCTCATCTCTGGCCAGATCCAACCTTCAAAGCTGTGTGCATTCCTTCTCAGAGGGACCCTAATGGCAAGGGGAGCTGTGCGGGTGGCAGGAAGCTGTGTCCCGTGGGAAGAGTTAAAGGAACTGAAGGTGTTTCCCCTGGGGAAGAGGAGGCTGTGGGGCCCACGAGTCCTCCAGAGGGAAAGAGAGACTACACTTATTCTGCATGTGCCCCAGGGCAGGACTGGAGCCACAGGTATGCCACAGGGAAGCGGGTTCGAGCCCCAGAGTAAAGAGCGCTGTCTGGTCGTCGAGCTGTTCAGAAACGCAATGGCCAGCAGGGGCTCCCTGTCTTTGGAAGTGGGGGGACTTCTGTGACAGATGGAATGGAGGTGACCCCTGTGCTGGAGGGAAGGTGGGCCAAGGTCCTAAGACTGAGTCCTCACCCACTGTGAGGTCATCGAGCTCCGGCAGCACAGGCAGGGTCCAGCCAATGGAGGTCAGCAGGGCAGTCACCTGACCCATGGTCACCAAGGGCTCCACACGGACAATCTGTTGACACAAGAACAGGAACCCTGAGTCACAAGGAGGCTGCCGGGCCTAACTCAGGCGTCTGCACGCAGAGGGTGTCCTTCAGACCTTCCCAACCAATCACTGCGGAGGTCCCTGTCAGCCCTCAGTCTCTTTCCAGAACATTCCAGTATCTTTCCTTCCAGCAAGTGGGGATTCTGAACCTGGCTTTGCAACAGTTCAATCTTGTCCTTGCTAATATCTTTACAATTAATACTTAGTTTATTTTTCTTCTGGGTTATAGAAGAAGTAACCCTATATGTGGAAGAAAGAGCATATATGAAGAAAAGTCATCTGTATCACTGTTAATACTGGAGTGTATTTACTCTCAGTCTTTTCCCATGCACGCCTATGCTGTTCTTTTGTATGTTTTAATACAATGCATACATACACACACACAAAACACACACTTTCTTGTCTTGCTTTTAAAATCCAACCTGACACTATAACTACTGTCCTTGGAAAATGTGATTGTTAATGTACACATTAATGTGCCATCATGTAGACTTCTGTTTCTAGCCAAGATGGAAGAAAAGGGACCAGACTTATCCTACTGCCTGAAAACAAAAAAAAAAACAGACAAAACACATAAAACAAGAGTTTTCAACAGAGCGGACAGCAGGCAAGGAAGTTAATGACCGTTGAGAGACAAGAAACCACACGCAGGGAGCTCTGGGGACACCCCAGCTCACTGCTGGGGGTGAGGCAGTGCCGGGAGGGGAGCAGGGGGCCCGGTGGCCTCCGAGCTGAGAGCCCCGGGGGACTGAGGCGAAGAGAACCTGCAGGACGAGTCCTGGAGGACAAACTCCCGGAGAGAAGACTAAGGAGCTGCAAAGGGTGCCCACTGAGTACTCGACCGATACAGATCAGTGCACGTTCACGAGGAAACACCTGAGGCTGGGCCGGGGAAAGAGCCAGGAGAAAGGATAACTGGCAACGGTGCAGGGAACAGCGCCTGTCCCCACCAGCCAGCCTGGAAGCCTCAGCTTCGCGGGGCACTGCGTGGAGTACTCAGCAGGGTGGTGCCTCACACGGGGGAACAGCTCTCCCTGGATCTGAATGCTGCTCTGGCCCCACCTGAAAAATCGAGACCCAGTAGTATCGAACTGTTTCCAAGGAACTTAGCTATATCCCAGAAAAAGCTCAAGAAGATTTCTAGGAATACAGGAATACCCAGCACCCAACTCACAATGTGAAGTAAAACTCACAATGTCTAAAATCCAGTCGAGGTTTATTAGGCATGCAAAGGGACAAATTCAACCCACAATGAGGAGAAAACTCAGTTAATCTGTTGAGTAAAATTAGCAAACAAGGGCATGAAAATAATTATTGCTGTATTCCTTTCGCTCAAAAGTTAAGTCGAGACACAAAAAGATAGCAAAAAGACCCCTGTTGAACATCTAGAAGTAAAACCACAATGTCCAACAGCAAATTAGACATTGTGGAAGAAAAGAGTAGTGAACTTAATACACAGAAGAGCAATGATCCAAAATGAAAAAACACTCAAGGAAAAAAATTAAAATCAACAATGTATCAGAGTGTGCTGGGCAGGGGAATAACTTTAAGTGGCCTTCATGTGTATGTGACAGCATCCTCAAAGGGAGAGGGTAGTGGACCAAAAAATATGTGAAGAAATAAAGATCCCCAAATTTCCAAATTTGATGAAAATTATAACAAAACCCAACTAAGAGAATTATGAAGAAAACTATACCAGGGCACATCATAATTAAGCTGCTCAAAACTAGCGACACTGAGAAAGCCTTAAAAACCGGCGGAGGAAATAAAGATGTGAGAGAGGAACAAAGATAAGGATGAGAGACTTGTTGTTGGAAACCATGCAAGTCAGGGGAGAGTGACGCATCTTTAAAGTCAACATGGAATTCCATGCCCAGTGAAAATATCAAGGCAACTGCAGCCCTGGACGCTGTGGATCAGTTGGTTGGAGCATCGTCCTGTTAATCAGAAGGTCACAGGTTCGATTCTGGTAAGGGCACATGCTTGGGTTGCGGGTTCTGTCCCTGCTGGGGGCACGTGGGAGAGGAAACCAATTGATGTTTCTCTTTCTCTCTCTCTCTCTCCAAAATAAAAAAAAAAACCCATGTCCTTGGGTGAGGATAAAAAAAATAAATAAAGGCAGCTGCACATCCATTAGGATGGCTACTATAACAAAAACAGGAAATAACAAGCATCGGTAAGGATGTGGAGAAACTGAAACCCTTGCATACCGTTGGTGGGAATGTAAAATGGTACAGCTACTGTGGAAAACAATACGGCAGTGCCTCAAAAAATGAAACACATCATCACCATATGAGCCGGCAATGCCACTTCTGAATGTACACCCCAGGGTCTTGAAAAGACATCTGTATATCCATGCCCACAGCACCACTGTTCATAATGGCTGCAACGTGGGAGTGACCAAGTGCCCAACAGCAAATGAACAGATAAGGAAGATGTGGCATATGCGTATAATAGAATGTTATTCTGCCTTAAAAAATCCTGATGTGTGCTATGATAGGGATGGCCCTTGAGGACATTATGCTGGTGAAATAAGCCGAAAGGTCACAAAAAGGCAAATCTGTGCGAAACCAGCTGTGCTCAGCGTGGTCAAACTCACAGAGACAGGAAGTAGAACAGTGGCCGCCAGGGGCTGGGGGGAGGGCAGAACGGGAGTCACTGCTTTCGTCCTGTTCCGCACGAGGAAAAGACTGATGGGGCTGGATGGCAGTGACGGCTACGTAAACTTACGACTGTGCGCAGATTTAATACCACTGAACCGTACACGTAAAAATGGTTAAGACTGTAAATTTCATGTTGTGTGTATTTTGCCACAATAAAACCTGGGAAAGAAATGAAGGTAAGGTAACTGTTTTCAGATACACAATTGCCAAAAGATTCATCACAGCAAGATCACCAGCAAAGGATGTTAAAGGAGACCTTTCGGGCAGAAGGAAAGTAAAAACAGATGGGAATGCAAATCTACACAATGGAGTGAAGAAATGGCAGCTTATGGGCAAGTATACAAGATTTTTTCTTATTTACATTTACTTAAAGGATAGCTATTAAAAAATAATAATACAGTGTGCGCTTTACAACATACATAAAAGTGTGTCAACAACAGCACAGGAGTCGGGAGAGAAATGGAAGCATAGATGTTCTACAAGATTCCTACACTGTACACAACATAGGAGATCATTTGAAGGCAGAGTGTGGTAAGTAAAATGTATACTAGAAATCCTAAAGCTACTGCCAAAATAACAAAACAGGGAGTTGTAGTTAATAATCCAACAAAAAATCTAAAATAGAATCAAAAAAATTATTTGATAATCTACCTGAAGCTAATACAAAATAACACTGAATATAACCTGTGAACACTGAAAAAAATGTTAAAAACAAATTAGTTGAAAACAACAACAAAAAGAATATTCAATAAATACTCTTCTGTCTTTAAAAAATTAATCAGTAATCTAAAGGAAGCTAGGGAAAACAAAAAGAAAAAAGGAAAAAGGAACAAAGCACAAGTGGGGAAAAAGCGACAACAAAGAACAAGGTGACAGAGTCAAGTGCCAAACCTTGTCAACACGACCACGACACAGAAATGGTCTACCACGGCGATGACAAGGCAGAGACTGTCAAGTTGGACAAAAAAGCGAGACCTAACTCAATGCTGCCTACAAGAAGCATATCTTGAATGTGTATATTAAAAATATAGATTAAAAAGATGGAAAAGATACACCATATTACCACAAGTCATATAAAAAAACTGGATAGACTTGAACACTATCGACCACCTTGACCTAACTGCCATGTACAGTACACACCACCCCAAAACAGCAGAACACACATTTTTTAAAATGTGCATGAAGTATATGATTGTCTAACCACTATGCTGTACACCTGAATACAAGATAATGTTGAATGTAAGTAAAATAAATAAATAAATGAATAAATAACTTAGAAGAAACAAAATCTGTGAAAAGAAAAATTGTGCATGAAACATTTACCAAGACAGACCACATTCTGGGCCACCAAGTAAATCTCAATAAACTGAACAACATTCTGTGTGATGGGGCTACGACTAATCTCCTTGTTCGAAGCCGTGAGGCCTTGGACGATGGCAACAGTGAGCAGAGCCTCCGGTACTGACCGGAGTTCTCAGTCCCGTCCCCTCTGGGACACCCTGGGCTGCAATCATCTCCCTGCAAGTCACTGCACCAGGGGCAGCACGTGCCCACTGCCAGGGCCAGGGAACCATGTCGCTCTCACCTGTTTCTTGGTGTCCACCTCCAGGATGTCCATCAGGTTGATCATGATGTTTTTGTGTGTCTTCTTGTACTTCCCAACCCGGAGCGAGACGGTGAGCCAGCCCGGGCGCCCTGTGCACATGAAGGTCTTGCTGCCTTGCTCCTTCCATTCTCGTACCTGCAACCGGGGACAGAGGCTGAGCTAGCTCCTCCTGGATCCCTAGGGCAGCTGGCAGCCCTGTTTTCAGGAGAGGGAGCTGGGAAGCATACCTCTGCTTGTCAACAAATATTAAAAAAACAATCCAACAATCCCTGCCTTTTAATTTCTGAGCCCTTGCCTTCTTCCAGGCACTGGAAGGCCCACTGGCCTCACCCTCTGGAATCTCTCTGGTCACTGAGGCTGAGAGAAAAGCTGGGGTGTTGTCACACCACAAGGCAGAACGAAGAAAGAGCCAAGCTACAGGATCAAAGTGCTTTCAGAAGACTAACTCTAACTGGGAAGGCCAGGGAAGGTTTTGTAATGGTAATAGTAGCAACCATACAAGTGATGATCGTTTATTATGTGCTTGCACTGTGCTGGGCACCATCTCATTTAATTCTCAACAACTCCAGGAGGTTGGGATGATCTCCTTTAGCAGATGAGAAAACTGAGAAAGAGTAACTTGCCCAAGGTCACACAACCAATGAAGGGCAGAGCCCAGATTCACAGCCAGGACTATCAGACTTCTGGAAGGACAGAAGTGCTTGTGTTAACAGTCGAGAGAGTAACAGCTAACATGTATAGAAGTGTGCTATGCGCCAAGCCCTGTTTTAAGCATTTGCATGTGTAACTCATGTATCACTTGTAGAGGAGAGAAGAGGCAGGGAAGGGCCACCAAACCAATGGAAGGAAGAGCTTTTGCAAACCCTCTGCTGTAAGTGACCAGAGCACAAAACACAGGGAACAAATGGCTTAGAAGATGACAAGCCATCAAGAACATGGGAGAAAGTGCTCCCTTCCTGCTGAGATGGGCAAGAGCAGGGGGGTGGCTATTTGTTGCTGTAACCTGTGGCCATCCATTTCTCCTTGTCTGCTTCTAATGCGCCCGTTTTCCTTTGGTCCAGGTGATGTTGCTTCTCCCCCTGCCCCAGGAGGTGGGCATATGACCGAGGTCTGAGTCCACCCTCCCGGCCGTAGTGACCGGTTCATGGATGGGACACGCCATCCAAGTCAAGCCAATAAGACTGGCTCCAGGAGAGGCACTCCTGCTGTACTGGGGCCGCTAAGCTGGTTGGATGAAAGCTAGAAACTGCTGGAGCCTCTGCAGGGGGACAGCCTCCCTGAGAATGAAGTCAACCCAGAGGAAAGCAGAGCCAAGAGATGGCAGATGGATAGAAAGGTGGAGATGGGGGATTCTAGATCCAGTCATGTCTGAGCCAGTTTTACTCCCAGAGTTTTCGGGACCTGGGTCAATGAAGTCCCTTTTTTGGCTCAACAGTCTAAACTAAGTTTCTATCACGTGCAACCAAGAGTCTGGGAAGGTAGTGCATTGAAGCTGATCGAACAAACAGCTCAGCATGGATAAGAACTTTCCTGTGACTGGAGCCCAGGGCGCCATGGGAAGGAGAGGTGTCTGAGCAGGGGGCAGTTATGGAGGAAGGGGCCCTGTGAATAGCAGCAAAGGCACGGAGGGAGATTCCGTAGCCACGTAGGCCTTGCCCCTGCCCAGCTTTGCAGTCCCAGGACATAATCCAAGCTCAGAGGTGTGGGAATTGGATGGGGTGCTACAGCCAAGTTGGAGGGTGGGCCATGAGACAGGAAGTGCATGCAGAAGCCATAAAGGCTGAAACAGTGGTTGGATTGGAGCCAACCAAGGTTTTGGGCAGGGAGGCAATGCTGTGGAGAGTGGCCCTTGTGACTATGTACAGGCCAAAAAGGTAGGGGTGCAAAAGGGGGGTGGGGGTAGGACAGGGGCAACTAGTCTGGTAGCTATTACAACATGCCAGGTGTGAGGCAACAGAACCAGACCTACAGGGTGGAATGGAATGGGAGAGAAAAAATGTCAGAGCTCAGCCTCCAAAATCAGATGACCTACAGTTTGAACCTCAATTTTTCCCATCTGTAGAACAGGTATAAGACCTGCTAGTCTTGCTATCAGGACTAGAAATAATAAACATCAGCAGTACTGTATGTGGCCCATGGCAGGTCCAGGGCAGTAGGCCAGGTCCCAAGCCTGTTGTCTTCCTGTCCACAGTGAACACTTTGGTTTAGTTTAAATAAATAAGAGCTCAGTAGGCTGTTCTGGGCCAGGTCCCATGGGCTAGAGGTGAGTTGGATAACAGTCCTTGCTCTCGAGGAGCATGCACTCTGATTGGAGAGACAAACAGGTGAATGGAGAATCTGATGGCAAGGAAAGATCGATGAAAGAGGGTGCAGCTGTGGAGAGCGGGTAGGCAGGGCTCTGGAGCAATGACTGTGACTAGCAAAACCCAGGGCAGCCCAAGTAAAGTACTTGCAGACCCTGTGTTCTCCCACCCGGCCCACGGTTTCTTCTCTCTTGTGGGAATGAATGCTCTCAGCATCCATCTTCACACTCTTGCTTGCAGCACCCAGCCCAGTGCACAAAGAATATGGAGGCTGCTACACCTGTGGTGAGAGGGGTAGCAGGAAACAGAAACCCTTTGCAACCTGACTCCAGTGAGAGAGGAACCTAAGGAGGGGCAGAAGGAGCCAAGAACCTGCTCAGGCCCAATGCCCATGTCAGCCCTGGACACAAGAAGGAGGCTCGGCTCTGAGCAGCAGTAGGGCAAGGCTCTCTGGGTGCTGACACATGCAAGGATGTGCAGAGGTACTGGGAGGTGGCCCACTCACTGCCTTGCCCAGGAGTGAGCACCTGGCCCAGAGGCTGCCACTTTAGTCCTTTATTCTAAGTGTGTCAAAAGCTTCTTGCTGCTACAGAGTAAACTCTAAACTCCAGGCCCCTCCATAACCTAGCTCCAAACTGACTTTCCAACCTCATCCCTAACTCAACCTTCAGCTCACACTCGACCCTCCACCCCATACATCTCTCCCCAATCATTTCTCCTACTTCCCAGTCTTTAGCCAGCTCCACCTCCCCGAAGCCCTCCCACCTCTGAAATCGCTCAGGCCTTGTGATAGCTACACGTTCATTGCCCACCAACCCCCTATCTTATGATTCTTTATATTCCTCCTGGTATTGTCACGTAATCTGCACATAGTGGGAACTCCATAAGCATAGGAACAATTTTTTGTTCTCTTCAAGCCTTTGCTTACCCCACTCCCTCACAGGGAAGCTACCACAATCACACTTCTGAGTTCAAATCCCCCTCGAACGTCTCCCACTCCGTGCAGTCTGGGCTCCCCCGGCACAGTACAACAGTCCACGCCTCGCACCCCGCTGTGCAAGCTGACTACCTAATCGCGTGGGCCCGAGGCTCCGACGACCGCCAGGGAGAGCTCACCTGCTTCTGGATGTCCCGCACGCGCTGCTCGTGTAGGCGCGGCGCGCTGCTGAGCTTGAACACCACCCAGGCGCGCACGTAGTAGTAGATGTCGAAGATGAGCGAGAGCGGCAGCAGGAAGAGACACACGAACACCCACCGCTGGTGAATGAGCACGAACTCCAGCCCCTTCACGCGGATCCAGAGCAGGAAGAGCAGTGCGCACACTGCCAACGACACAGCCGGCTCCATGGTGGGGCCGGCGGCGCGCCGCGCGGGGGAGGGGGCTGCCGGCTCGCGTCGCCTGTCACTGCCACCCGTTCAGCTCCCGCCTGCGCCCGCCAGCTCCAGTTGCCGGCTCCTAGTGAGCCGGGGGTCGCCTTGCTGCCTCACGATTGGTTCGGGTTGCAAAGGTTCGGTGGGCCGAGACCCAGGTGGCAACCAATGGCGAGCCGCGCGGGAGATCGGACCAGGAACCCGCTGCTTTTATTGGCTGTGGGAGTCTGGCCGCTCCACCCTCCTCTCCTCGCCGACGCGTCGGGAGGGGTTGCCCGCGGACCCACACTCTGGCGGGGTCGACTGCGCTCGGCTGCGTGGGGTCTCTAGGGGCGCGGGCGGGGCGACTAGGGCTTCCCACCCTGGAGACTACCAGGGCTACTCCTCAGTCTAGGGGCGCGACTGCTTCCTCCTCCCCACGTCCATAGGTGGCGCCTTTGCGAGAGGCGGGTGAAGCGGTCAAGAGTCAGGTTACCTCCGGAGGGGTAGGGTGGAGGCGCCCCCTGGGTTAGTCACCCTGGAGCTTGGGGTTTCCGGGCCAGACTAGCAACCTCCCCCGTTTCCCACTCTGCTGAGGGGGTTGGGGAGAACTGGAAGGGAAAGAATGATGGGGGGAACTCCAGCTACCGGAAACCCTCTAGCGCCCGCTCTAAGCCAGGCAGTGTTGCAAGCCCTGGGGTAGGGTGGTGAGCAAAGCGGATGGCCCTGCCCTCATGGAGCAGCTAATCCAGAGGACCCAAGACTGTTACCAGCAAAAGCCTAAATCCAACGTCATTTGCATTTCATCCCTTCTGAAATTTTAGGAATTGTCAGAGATACTTTATTTTAGAAGCTAAACATAACTCACCAGGCCTGTCAACTGGCATTGCGTACGTATCCGCTTTCCTCTTTCATCTTTGCCTTCACATGCACTCTTAAGGGGCTTCCTGGGCCCCACTCTCCCTTGTGTCAGGGCCTTTGCTCAAGCTGGCACCTCCGGAGTGCCCTTTCCCATCCCCTTCATAGACATAACATTACATTCTTGAAGCCAGCTCAGGGCCACCTCTAAAACTACATTTTTGTCACTTCCTTTCCCTTTCAGGTGCTGATAAAACAGTGCATCTATGTCAGGCATGATTCTTTCACATTATTTTATAACTGCTTCTTTATGTGTTTCTAGCCTTCAAAAACTGAGCTTTAGAGCAATCAATGTGTGATTCACATTTCTATTTCCAGTTTCCAGCATGATGCTTGGTGCACAGTAGACACCCCCGTGCTTGTTGACCAATGAATGAGCGATGAGTGGAGGCAGAGGCTCACTGTTCAGTAATAACCAAAGTCCAAATAGTAAGGGGCTCTTTGCATTGGGCTCGGCATGCGGCTAGTCCAAACCGTGATATATATTGATTATTATTATTGGTTTGAGAGAGAAACATCGATTCGTTGTTTCACTTATGTATGTATTCACCGGTTCATTCTTGTATGTGCCTGACGAGGGCCCAAACCCACAATGTTGGTGTTTGGGGACAACCCTCTAGTCAAATGAGCTACCCGGCCAGGGCCATTGTGATGTAATTTCAGTGTGAAACACAGTGGATTGCAAAGACTTAGTATGAAAAAGAGAATGCAAAGAATCTCAATACTTTTTTACATGAATTGCATACTGAAATGATATCATTTTGATATACTGGATTAAATAAAAGTAGTATTAAAATTGATTTCACTTGCCTTATTTACTTTTTAATGTGGCTACTGGAAAATTAAAAAATACAGATTTGTCTTGCATTATATCTCTAGCAGCTCTGATCAAAAGGCTGCAATTGGAAAGTAAAGAGGTGAGGCACTGTGGAAAATGCCTTTCCCTGGGTTCTGTCCGAATTCAAAATCTGGAACTGTTACAGAGGACGTTGCTTTGAGGGCTCAGCCAGCCTGAGTATTGATGGGGAATGAGGTAATCTGAAAAGTAAAGTTCAACCTAAAAATTAACATTGGACCAAGTGTGTAGCACTTTGTAGGAGACACAAGAGAAATTACCAGTATTTAGAATAGTTTTACATTTGGAAAAAGCAAGAGGAAGCCCCAAGAAACACATAAGACTGATCTTTAAGGAACAACTCTCTAAAATGAAAAGGAATAAAAAAGTGCTCAGACAACTGTTTACACAACAGGCATGTTCCCATCCTCCCTTCCTGCCTCCTCTCCTGGGCCCCTGATTATTCTTTTCTCTCTCCACACACTCCAACAATTCGGGTTGCTATTATCTGGGCAAGGAAAACAGTTACCACAAGTTGCCTAAATTAGTTTTATTTTTAAGTTAACATACATTAAAAGTGTTTATCTTTGTGTATAGTGTGTGCATGTTAGCACATGTAAGGGTTCTTATAACCAGCAATGCAATGAGGATAAAGAATGCTTCCATCTCCCCCCAAACTCCCTCCTGAACCCCTCTGTAGTCACACCCATTCCCGTCCCCCAGCCCCTGGCAACCACTGCCCTGTTCTTAGCACTATAGCTTTGTCTTTTCCAGAAGGTCCTATGAATGGAATCATGCAGTGTGTAATCTTGACCCCGTAAATTGTTTTTTAAAAGATTTTTTTTTATTGTGGTAACAGATACCTAACATAACAATGATCATTTTAGCTATTTTTAAGTATACAGTTTCAGTGATATCAAATACATTTGCATTATTGTGCAGCTATCACCACTGCCCATTCCCATAACTCTTTTCTTGTGAACTGAAACTCTACTCATTAAACAGGGACTCCACATTCTCCCCTCCCCCAGCCCCTGGCAACCACTATTGCATGCTCTGTTTCTGATTTTGACTACTCTAAATATCTCGTAAAGGTGGAATCACGCAGTGTTTGACTTTTTGTGACTGTCTTAATTCACTTACCATAATGTTCTCAAGGTTTATCCTTATTATAGCATACTGCAGAATTTCCTTCTTTTATCATGTGCATGTTTTTACTTATTTATTTATTTTTTAAACTTCATTGTTCAATTGCAGTTGTCAAGAATTTCCTTCTTTTTAAGGCTGAATGATATTCCATTGTATGTACTACATTTTGCTTATCCAGTCATCATTAATGGACATTTGGGTTGCTTCTATTTTTTAACGACTGTGAGTATTGCTGCTATTAACATGAAAGTTCAACTATCTTTTCAAGACCCTGCTTTCAACTCTTTTGGATATGTGTCCAGAAGTGGAATTGCTGGGCCATATGGTAGTTCTATGTTTAATTTTTGAGGGGCCTCCGTACTGTTTTCCACAGTGACTATCATGTTATGTTCCCATCAGCACTGCACAAGGCTCACATTTCTTGGCATCTTCGCCAGCGCTTGCTTTCTGCATTTTTTTAATAGTGGCCATCCTAATGGATGTGAGGTGGAAACTCACTGTCATTTTTTAAATTTAATTTTTATTATATTCTTTTCATTGCCATTTAGTCCCCTTACACCCCCATCCCCCCAGCAATCACCGTACTGTTGTCCAGGTCCACACGTCTGTTTTCATTGTGGTTTTGATTTGCATTTTCCCAATGACTACTGGTGTTGAACATCTTTTCATGTGTTTCTTGGCCAATCTTATATCTTCTTTGGAGAAATATCAATTGAAATCCTTTGCCCGTCTTTGAACCAGGTGGGTTTTGTTGTTGTTATTGAGTTTTAGAAGTTCTTTATGTGTTCTGGATATTAATCCTATATCAGATATATGATTTGTAAATATTATCTTTTATTCTGTGGATTGTTTAGCCCGTTAATTTTTGCCCAAGCCAAGGATGCTTCCTTTTACAGGGAGTCTACTCACAAATGCATGTATTAATAATAAATGTACATTATTAGCCTGGCTGGTGTAGCTCAGTGGATTGAGTGTAGGTCTGAGAACCAAAGGGTAGCTGGTTTGACTCCCAGTCAGGGCAGATGCCTGGGTTTTGGGCCAGGTCCCCAGCAACAGGAGTGTGACAAGCAACCACACACTGATGCTTCTCTCCCTCTCTTTTTTCTTCCCTTCCCCTCTCTCTAAAAATAAATAAATAAAAATCTTTAAAAAATAATAAATGTACATTATTTACATGAAAACTCAGTTAGAATGCTTAGAAATAGGATGTTCTTGTTAACAAGTTCTCAGGTTAACTGGAAGTTAGGCAACCCCCCCTTTACATTCTGACCATGTAGCAATTTTTCAAAACTGTGAGTCCCCATTTTTTTCTTAATGAATAGCGTCTGATGAACACAAATAATTTTTTTATTATGGATCTCAATAAACACCAGAGTTCTAACAAAGAACATTTTCTTATCTTCGTACAGTACATCTACTGAAATTACTTGGTCTGTACAATCAGTCTGAGGGGTGACAATGCAGGGAACTATTAATTGGTGTTGTTTTTAATAAATGGGACATTCAGATATAGAGGACTTAAGTGACATGCCCGACTACTGTCTTATTCTGGAGAACAGAGAAGCTGAGATGTGGCTCCCATCTACTGGATCTTTCCATCAGGTCAACCTGCTCCCTCGATTCTTTTGTGAAACCCCATTTCTCACGGTTCAGTTCCACAGATATAAAGGAGAAGTTTTAGAACAGGGTTTCTTGAGGTGTGCGTGGTCTGCAGACCGGCCACATTTTAACCAGAATACTGGTTAAAATACGGACTCCTGGACTCTACCACATCTCACTGACCCTAAATCTCCAGAGGTGAACCCAGGAGTTGGCGGTTTAAAAAAGGTCTCCAGGTTATGCCTGCTAACATTTAGGAGATTGGACTGAATGTGTATTGACTCTGAAACTTCTCTAAAATATTATCTTTGCTTTTTTTAAAAATAAAGCCCTAATAAGAGATTCCTTTCTCTTGCAAAGTTCAGCTTTCACCTAAAAGCCAAATTTATCCAGAAAACTATAATATGCTAAGCTTCCTGATAATCAAGATTTTATTTGTCTTTCCCTGGCCAGATAGCTCAGTTGGTTAGAGTGTCCTCCCAATAAGCCAAGGTTGCTGCTTCAGTACCCCATCAGGGCACATACAAAAGTCAGCCAATGAATTCATAAATAAGTAGAACAACAAATCAATGTCTTTCTCTCTCTCTAAAGAAAAAAATCAATAAATAAACTTTTTAAAAAGGAATT